GATAAACGTCATTGTTTCTGCCCATCACATATTTTATGTAAAATAACCAAGAATTTGGATTATATCATAGATCAACATAAAAATTTTATGGAAAAATTTGACAGATGCATTCATCATTCCTGCTCAGATGAGCAATTTGAAGAGAGATGGTGGAAATTGATGAATAAAGTTGAACTAAAGGATGACAAATGGGTTCAATCTTTGTATGAAGATCGGAAAAAGTGGGCACCTACATTCATGCGGGACATTTCTTTGGCTGGATTATCAACAATTGTAAGGTCTGAGAGTATATCATCTTCCTTTGACAAATATATTTGTGCTGATTCTACCTTTAAGGAATTTATTGAACAGTATAAAGTTTTCTGTGTAGACTGTTTTGACATTGAAGCAAAAACTGACATTGATACAACACAAAAGCAACCTGTATTAAGATCTTTATCACCTTTTGAGAAGCAGCTATCTACAATTTATACAGATGTCATATTTAGAAAATTTCAGTTGGAAATATTGGGAATGATGTCTTGTCATCTCCAGAAGGAAACAGAAGAAAGGGAAAATGTAACATTCATCGTTGATGATTTTGAGAAGCAGAAGAAATATATTGTTTCTTGGAAGGAAGCAGATTTGTGTGTCTGTTGTTCATGTTGTTTATTTCAATACAAAGGTTTTCTATGTAGACATGCAATACTTGTCCTTCAGAAGTCCGGCATAACCAACATTCCATCCCATTATATTTTAGAACGATGGACAAAAGATGCAAAGGCCAATGAATTTTCTGGTGACATAATTACCTGGACTGCTAATCGAGTTCAACGTTTTAATGACCTTTGTAGGCGGGCAATTGTATTAAGTGAAATTGGATCTTTATCTGAAGATACTTACCGTGTTGCATCTCAGGCCTTGGAAGAAGTGTATAAACACTGTGTGAACACAAAATATTCTGCTAGAAGCACTTCAGATGCCAACAAGTTGGCTCTTAATAGTTTTGATGTTGAAGATAAAAATTATGGCTGTCACAGGGAAAAACCTACTAAGAAAAGAAAGTCATTCAATAAAAGGGTTAGTTGATGATCAACTGTTATGTGCTTGCTAGAACTTGTTTTGACTTGTAGAAAGTCGTGAGCCTTCTTAAATAGATTTTGTATATTACAGGAACGCTCTGATGCAGAAAGAATCAATATAAAGATGATGGAGGATTTCGAAAAGAGGGTTTGCCACTTATTACTTTTTTGACCTTTTCATGCATGGATAAAGCTTAGAACTCTTATATTCTCATGCTTTGTAGGATCATCAGTGTTATCGTTATGTGCAGGAACAGAGAATGACAAGAGCGCACAACTCCGATAATTGTTACATATCTCAGCAGGACATGCAAACTGTGGTATGGGATTTTCTGCACCCATGATTGTCCAGAAAGTATCTAGCTATAGTACTTTAACAGTAACAATTTTCGTAAATGTTCATTCTTCTTTTAATTCCTATTTTATTCTTCTGGGTACATAAGATAATTTTTTGTTCTCATAGGACTTGGATTCTAGAGCTTCGACCATTGATGTCTATTATGGAGCTCAACAGAGTGTGCTTGGAGATGTATTCTCGTCCTATCTGTACTTTTTAATTAGTTGGATGGTGTATAAATTAACTGTTGTTTGAACTTTTTAAAGGTGCAGCTGAACTCAGTTTCTGCTATGCATGATGGCTATTATAGCAGTCAACCGGCCATCCTAGGGCTGGTAGGCGCATGAACTTTATTTCTCCTAGGCTCTTTTTATGAGAGATGTTTATGGATCTCATATTTTGTTTCAATCTACAGGGGCAATTGCATTCCATGGCAAGCCGTGGTCCACATTATGGGATGCAGCATAGCATGCAAGGACCGGTAGTGAGTTATGGATTACATTGTGAAACTATATGGCTTCATTTTTTAATCTAAGATAATTAGCTTTTGCTAATTTGTTTTCACAGCTTCAAGGACAGCTCACTTTCAGAATGCCAACAGTGCAAGGGTGTTTTGACCTTCAAGATAGTCTAGAAGCTATAGTATGCACTTAAATGATTCAGTTATAATTTGCACTTAGTTTGAACTGCCAAGTATATTCATGGATATGATTTTGTTTCAGGAACAACCTATTAGAGCCTCACAGTTCCATGGCATTACATCAAAACAACTAGAAGTTGATAAATCACTTTCCTGATATCTGCAAGAATACAATTTTCTTTCCATGTTAGATTAAAGATGTATATGTATATGGATAATTTTGTACTAAAGAAAGCTCTTTTTACTAGGGGAGTAGGGAAAAATTGCACCCTTGAACAAATTTAGTCTATTTGTATCTGACTACACTAATTAAATCCAATGATGATGGTTTTATGATTTACAAAACTCAATCAAATCAATTATATTATTTTCCTTTATCTTTTGTGATATATAAATATGTTTTTATAATTGTTGGTATTATTTAGTTTATGTTGACAACAATAATATATATTGTTTTCATAATTCACTGTTAAAATTTTGTATGAATTTTTAGGCAAGATTGTGTATTTTTCCTTTTTTTTAAGTTGAATTTTATATGTTTGGGACTCAGGTTGATCCAAACCAAACTAATTCATTCTTTGATAGGATTGGTTTGGACTGTGAGAAGAGATTGTAAAATTATAACAAATTAAAACCAATAAAATAGAATGGTTCAAATTTTAAGGTGTTTGTAGTAAATGTTTAAAGAAAAGAAATAAAATTTAAAATGTGATACAATTGAACTGTCTATATAACATTATTTTTAGTAATTATCTCTCATCGTCGTCATGACATGTAATAAATCATGTAAAAAAAATGTAGAGAAAAATAATATTGTTATACATGTAGTATTTCTTAAAACAAAATTCAAGTTATGGATGAAATGGTATTTCCATTACTTTTGTCTCAGTAATAAAGCACTTAGCTAATTTATTATGATAAGACAAATAAAATAACATCAATATCTACATTTTAACTTTTTAAAAAATATATATGCAATTTTGTAAGTGGCAGGTGAGAGTTAAGGTTGACGAATATTTAGAATCATTATTGACGACTTCGTGATACGAGTAAGAACTAATAATAAAGGAAAAATTTGAAGAATAAAGATACTTAGACAAATTAATGAGGTATAAGAATAAAACATAATATTTGGTTTTGGTCATAGATGTTTTAGCCTATTTGAGTATTTTTACATATTTCTTTAAATTCTTTAAAGTACTATTTTTTTTATTGTATTGACTATCAAACCAGTTTCTAGTTGAACTTACTGGTCTAGTTTGATTTTTCAAACACAAGTTAATACTTAAAAAATAAATACAAGTTACTACTTTCAATTCTCCTCTTCATTTTTGTAAAGGTTTCATCAACGTTTTTTTATATTATCACTCATGTTTATAAATATTCTTTTTATTTATTAATAACCAATAATTTTAAAATTGAATCAATGATAATAGATTTAGATTTAAAAAATTCAATCAGGTTTAATTAAATTTAATAAAATAATATTTTTATAATAAAATAAATATATAATAAATTAATTAGTAATAATATTTTTTTATAAAAAATATAATAATAGTTAAAAATATTACGATAATTATTGTAATAAAAATTATAAATATAAAATATTTTAAAAAGTAAAATATAAAAAATTATTAAATATAATAAAATAGTTATTATTTAAAATTAATATAATTAATATCAAATAATTTTTTTTAATATATTATATATATTTTAAATTATATTAAAATAAATTCATCATAAATATATTTTTTAAATCGATTCAATCTAAAAATTCAGTTAATTTTATTAATTTTATCTTAATTTAATTACTTATTTAAAAATAACAAATCGATTTTTAAGTCCAATTCAACCTAATTATTAAATAAGTGATTTTTAACCTAGAGTATTTAATATAATATTTGTATCAATTCTTAAAGTTTGTTGGGTTGAAGAATTTTTTTATATTATTTTTGTCGAAGTAACTCTTTACTTTCAAAAATTAAGTCTGAAATTTACAATTACAATTCTCAGTGAATACACAATAACTATTTTTTGTCATCTTAGATGTTTACAAGCAAAGTCTTTTTCCTATTTACATTTTTAGTCATCCTCTTTCTACTTTTTAGTCTTAATTATCATGATAAATTGTGATTTATTTTTTAAAAGTAAATGTATTTTATTTTTCTTGTGAAAGTAGAAAAATACTTTCCTTCGATAATAAAACTAGATGCATATGAATTTTATCTATATAATCAAAATTTAGATTAATAATATAATAAAACATATGTTCTAATAATATCCATTTAAAACTTATACAGTATATTATTTTATTTTTTTACCTCTAACATTTATTTATCACCAGACATATCTTAAAAAAATAGTTGATATTTTTATTAAATATTTTATATGATTTTATACAATATTATATTATAATTTTTTTTAAACTCGTTGAATATTACAAATAATTGTATTTTGTATTAATGAATAAAAAGCGAAGAATTTTTAAAATCATTTTTTAATTAAGTTAATTATTTTATGTGTTTATGTTAAAAGTCCATTTTCTCCTTACAAAATACAGCACATATCTACATATTATGTTTTTACATTATTTATAAAATATTTTTTTGGTTTAATGAATCACCTTGAATCAATAATTCAATAACTTAGTAATTTAAATGAGACTAAAACTCTTGATGAAGCAAATAGTTGTAATAAAAAAAATAGCTTGAGAGAGAGGGTTAGTGTTGTGAATTGTGTGAGTTGGGAGTGAAAAGCGAGGTCTTTTTTTCTGTCTTCAAACCCTCTCCCGCCAACAACACAAAAGTGCGGTTCTTGGGGTTGCTTTGGGTTCCCAGCATTGTTTGATTCATTGCTTCATCGAATCAAAAGAAGAAGAAGAAGAGAAGAGGAAGAAGAGAAGAGGAAGAAGAAGAAGAAGAGAAGAGGAGGAAGAAGAAAATCTGTGAAGAAGCGAGGAGGCATGAGTGCTGTCAACATCACCAACGTCGCCGTCCTCGACAACCCTGCTTCATTTCTCACCCCCTTTCAGTTCGAGATTTCCTACGAGTGTCTCACCGCTCTCAAAGACGGTAACTTCTGCTCTCCTCCTTTTAGGGTTTTTTCAACTACTCTCTTTCCGACCAAGGTGTTTTGATTCTAGGATTAGATGCTTCCAAATGCATTCAAACCCTCACTCCATAACTCTGTAACTTTGGTTCTTTTTCGTTGTACATAGGAATAGGGTAGGGCTCTTGATTTCAACTCCTTTTTGTCTCTCTGTCTGCAGATCTTGTTACTTTGTCAACTTGTTAATCACACCATTACAACCTCAAACCCTCCCTTTATCTCGCCCCTTAATCCCTGCCAGGAAGATGTCGGATCTTTGTGCCCTCTTTAACCCATCACTTTTCTTATCATTATCTGTGAAACCCCCATTTTTTTCTAAAACTTCGCCTTTTCCCTATCTAATTTACTACCCAAAAGGTTGTTTAACCATACCACAGATGGCTGGATGTGGATCAATATTTCAATTTTCTTTGTTTTCATTCTATTGAATGGGGAGATGGATTACTAATCTCACATTCGATGCTGAAGTAGCTGGGGTTCATTCTCTATTTAGAATACTGAGAACTAAAAACCATTGCAAGTTGATGATTCTGTAAGACGATACTTTCTCATAACTTTGGCCTTGTTTGTTTTGATTTTTTAAACACCTTTTTGTTTTCTTAAATTTGTATGCCTGCCGAGGACATTCGAAAGCGTTTGTCTTTGACCACATTCATGTTATTAACAGATTGTTCCTCGGCAATTCAATACTTGGAGAAAACAGAACTGAATGAAAAACATGTTTCAACTGTTTCTGTTATTTGGTTTCAAAAACTTGTTTTTGAATTTTTTTTTTCAAAACCTAATAGATTTTGAATGAGAAATTGATTGGTGAATAGTGTGAAAGTATTTAGAAGACAGTTTTTTATGAGAAGGGTGTCAAACAACTCTTACTGTTTGACCTTGTTCTGGTAACAGTTATTTAAAGTTTTATAAGAGGATTTCATTTTTGTGTGTCCTCTCAAAATAATCAATACATTGTATATATGAAAGACAATTGAAAATATTTTCTTGTAAGTGGTTTTCGGGGAACAATATCAATCTAAATCATCATGTCGAATTTGGGTCCTAGAAGTCATAGTAAAGCTTATTTTTCTACCATCTTCACTATAATTTTATTCCCACGTCATATTGCTTCTGTGGCCTACTTTACAATGTTTGTTTTTGTCAATTTATGCTGTTTGTGGTGCAGATTTGGAATGGAAGCTCATTTATGTTGGATCTGCTGAGGACGAGACCTATGATCAATTATTAGAGAGTGTCCTTGTTGGTCCTGTGAATGTTGGAAACTATCGCTTTGTTTTACAGGCAATCGATATGAATACTAATCTTATGAATTCTGTACTGCACCATGCAATTGTTCATACACTCAAACTTTGAAATTACTGTTTCGATTGCAGGCAGATCCACCAGATCCATCTAAGATTCGGGAAGAAGATATAATTGGTGTGACAGTGCTTCTGTTGACATGCTCTTATCTGGGACAGGAATTTATTCGTGTTGGCTATTATGTGAACAATGATTATGATGATGAACAGCTGAGAGAGGAACCTCCACCGAAGGTTTTAATTGATCGGGTTCAAAGGAACATTTTGTCTGATAAACCTAGGGTCACAAAGTTCCCCATCAATTTCCACCCTGAGAACAATGAAAATGAAGAGCAACCCCCTGCTTCGGAGCACCCATCTGAAACTGGAGAAGATCCACTTGCCTTAGTCGATCGTGATCCCGCAAATGAGAAGGATTCTTAACATTTTGTAGGTATACAGACCTTTCAATTCCTAAGTCTCCATTAAATTCACTGTATGGATAATGATGCCGTTTTTGTGAATCTCTGTTCGATGATGTGAATGAGATTTATGAGCCCTTTCGAAGTCGGGACCTTGGAGCTCTAGGTTCAAAATGATTGTAACGTGTGAAAATCAGTTTCTTTGAATGAAGTTTTGCAATGCAAGCCCAGTTTTATGGACAGCCTATTGTTTTCACAAATCATAATCTTTTTTATTTGTAATAACTAAGAGGTTTCAATGTGAGATTTAGGTCATTTTTTGTGTTACCTTATATTCGGTTCTATTGATTGTCACTTAATAATTAATTATATGATGACTAGTGCAGGTTGTAGTCCGAGGGTGAAACCTGTGGTCTAGAGGTCACATGTTCAAATCTTTTGTAAGGGTAGCGCTGTATATATTTATCATGTCTTAAAAAATAATTTTTTATTTTATTTTTTCACTTATAATAATGAATACCATTTAGAATGATGTGCCTACACTGCAATTGGCCTTGCCCGTTCCATCAGGCAATGCAAAAAAGAAACAGAGAACCAATTCTTTGTGAAAGGTGGGGCACACAAAGGATAGCAACAAAAAAATATCAAGTCAACAAATCAACCTTTTCTACTTGAGACAATTTGTAAGGAGTTTTAATAAACAGCCATGAGCATCCAAATAAAGAAACAACTTGTACAATATATCTAAATTTGACATTTAATAACAATTTTTTATCATTACAAAATTGAAAAAAAAATTACATTTATATTTTTCTTGGAGTTTAAGGACTAATTACAATACAGATCAAAATCAAGTTTCACAAAAAGTAAAAAGAAAAAGAAAAACATTTGTTTTCCTATCATATCACATATGTAATACCTTAACTTTTCTAGGTTGTCTGATATATATAGTAAAATGAGGTTAACCCAATAGGAAATTATTGGTAAATTTTGTATATATATTTAAATAGGTATTTGTATATAAAAATAATTTATGAAAGGAATGGGATAGAATAGGAATATTGCAGAGTTGGCGTGGTGAGATGAAAAGGTGGGAGGACCTTGTGAATAACGTCCTACGAGTTTTATTGCATGGATTTCATCGCTTCCTTGGAAAACTCCGACTACAAATGACGTGCATGGAGGTTGAGGTTTAGCCTTAACAGTGGTGAGTGGCGAACACAATCTCGCAATGCAAATGCCAAGTCCAACTATGAAGCAAACCAACGTTTCCGATCAGAACATGTCCAAGAATCACATCTCTCCCACCCGACACAAGTTTCGCTCTAGAAGGAGGAAAACCATTTCTGCTCGCCCCTTGGTCGCATATGATATCAACGACACTAACAGTCCCTACTACAAGGGTCTCACCGACCAATCCCTTGCTATTGTCGATGCCATACCCTCCTGCGCACAACCTCATCATCCTCATACCCCTCCCACTGACCTCCTTTCCAGTCCTTATTATAAAGGCCTTACAGACTATTCCCTTGCTCTTGGCCCTTGGAATCCTCACAACCATCCTATTCCTTTTCCCAACAGCTCCCTCTCATACCCCTCTAGTCCTTACTATAGAGGTCTTCTCACTGACTACTCCCTTGTACTTCATGCACCATCACTTCAACCTCCTTTCAATAACTTCCAACCTTCTATCAGAACTAGGGAAGGGCTAACGCCAAAACTCTCACTACCAAACATCAAGCCTGACTCTACTTTGAAGGACTTGATGGTCGATGCTGATCAAGTTGACTTTCTTCTTACCCAAGAAAGTAATGAAGTTGGGAATTGTGCATTATTGGAAGAACTTGGTGAGAAAACAACTCCGGAGGAGATTGAAAAAGGGGTTGATGAAGAGAAGCCATTGAGAGAGAATGGATCAGAGACGATCATGGTTGAGAGTGTGTTAGAGGACAAAGCAGAGAAAATGATGTTGGAGAAGATCGAAGAATTGATGACAGACGGGGTCAACGAGGATGTTAATATGGTGATTGAAGAGAAGCCATTGAGGGAGAGTGTATTAGAGCAGGCAAGTGATAAGGTTGAGGGTGTATTAGAAGAAACAATCTTGGATACGAAGATGATGACGAGTTATGATGTTATTGAAGAGAAGCCATTGAGGGAGAGAGTATCAGAAACAAGGGAGGATGTAGTGATGGATGTGCGGAAGGAAGAGGAAGGGAAAGGCTTGTCTGTTGTTTCTAAACAAGCAGTTGTTGTTGCATCAGAATCTCAATTGAAAGAGGGAAGAGATGTTTACGACTATATATGGGCAGCCAAATACCAACCCATGACCTTGGAAGAGTTCATCTGCAACAAAGATAAAGCACATTACCTCAAAACAATGGTCAGAAATATTTTTATTTAAATATTATATTTTATTTCTGAAATGCATCTACTTGTGATCGCTTCTATTAATTTATTTCTTAGATTATTTGAAAAGAAAAAGTAATATGTTAGTTCTTTCTGAACAATAATTGCCTATCAAACTGACTTATAATAATCTATTAAAGTACATGGAACTTTCTAAACACGTTCTATTTCATTTTTTATTTCCCCTGATGTTTCCTATTCTTTTCACTTGTGTTTTTTGAAACGTCTCATCTCACTCGCTGTTTCAGTGCATGGGATATACTATTATTTGTTATGAGTTGCAATGGAACTAATTTATTTATTTAGCGGGCGCACTTTTTAAAGCAGTGTTTTGTATCAAGAAAAGAGCAACTTGACAATATCTTTTGGGAAATGAAAATAAAATTGGATTTGATAATTGCACAGGTAAAAAATGGTTGTGGGTGCAGTCACTTTATATTTGAAGGACCACCAAGTGTGGGAAAGAGATCCATGATCCGGGCTATGCTTCGAGAGGTATTTGGCGACGACAGGGTCCAGGTAAACTATCTTATAGTTACACTTATTTTTGTACTCTCGAATTGATGGGATGACATGATAATTTGACTCCTGAATGACATGACAGGTGACCGAAGAATATAAAAACTTCAATTTGAAGGTAAACATGGGTCTTCATTTATATGTTGTATTTTTCATCAATGATAAACTAATTGATCCTCAGTACCAAGCAAACAAACTGTTTATTTTGATAGGGAGAAATGGTTGATAATGTGCAAGTGCGCGTGAAGAAATCACTCCATCATGTTGAGGTCAATCTGTCAGAGACAAATGGATACGAAAAGCATGTAATTGTTGATTTATTCAAGGAAACATATGGGGAGGTGGTAGATAACTCGCAGCCATGTTGCCCAGAAAACTGCAAAGGTACGTAAGTAACTTATGGAAAGGTGATATAACGTAAGAAGATAAGATGTTTACTAACGTAGGTACATGTTTGTGGTTTGAAAGCTATCGTTTTGTATGAGGCGGAGAGGCTATCGATAGAATCGTTGCTGTATATTAAGTGGCTACTGGAAAAGTATAAAGGGTGTAATAAGGTTTTCTTCTGTTGTTCTGATGAATCAAAGCTCCAACCTGTGAAGCCACTTTGCATCACTCTCCGCCTTTCATCACCATCAACCCAAGAGGTCCCTTTCTTTCTCGTCCTACAATATTCGCGATTAACATGCATGCTTCTCATCACAAGCTTTTTCTCATCGCAAGCTTTTCACCCGACAGCTTGTTCAAATTTTGGAAAATATTGCAAAAGAAGAAGGAATAGAGATATCACGCCACTTGGTGGAGAACATAATTTGGAGGTCCAAAAACAATCTATGCCAAGCCATTCGTTCATTGGAGGCCACTTGCCGAAACAAGTGAGTCGTTTACACCTATTCACGATCCTCTTAATTACTTTTGCTGATGATTAACTATTTTTGCATGCAGGGATGCTCTCAAAGACGACGATGTAATTCTAACTGGCTGGGAAGAAGATATTTTGGATATTGCCAAAAAAATAACCCAAGAGCAAAGTCCACGACAGTAAGAAATTGATCTCTTGAATGCTTAGGATGTAATCATAGCCTAAAATGTGTTTGCATCTTTTTTTATTTTTTTTACTTGAGTTTTGGTTTTAAAGTTGGTGTTTTAAAATGATGACCTTACTTTACAACCATTATTTCTTTGTAACAGGCTGTACGCCATTCGTAGAAAGCTAAGAAGTCTTATGAGTCATGATGTTCCTGCTGACTTTGTTTACAAGGTAACAAATTATTTTCAGTTATATATTATTCCAACTTAAGATATTGTGTCGATTTATGGTGATTATGCATGCATGCAGTGTTTGGTACCAGAGTTAACTAATCTTATTCATCACTCGCTCCGACCAGGGGTTGTCAGACTCGACAGGGACTTCATGGTAAGCACTATCAAACTGTTTTCAATTTCACCTTATCTTGTTTTGTTTTAATTCTGTGTTTGATGCATTTTTTTTCCCTTTTCAGAGACCTTGTGAAACCAAATTTGAAACTATGAAGCAGCAGTTCTGTCATGCTCAAAGCAAACAAGCTGAATCTGATGAGAAGAGCACCGATTCAACCAAAAAGAATACCCTAACTTACTTAAAAGTAGAAGGTAAAACATTGAGTTCTTACTTATTTTAAGTGTTGTTCAGGTAAAATGCTCCCTTCAAAATAATAGAGGAAAATTTTCATTGCATATAACTAATAGGAGCTGTGACAAAGAAAATGTGAAAAACATTTTGGATCAATTAAAGAATAAATGACAATGGTTAATTGGTAATTATATGCAATATATAATTAATATATATTTAAAATATAAAATTGATTGACAATTTAATATATTAATATAATAATTATATTAATATATTAAACTGTGAATTGTATTACACAATGGATTCTCCGTAAATCATTTTGAAGGATAAATTCATAAAGGTGATATAGTAGTGCACTAATTATTGATGATTGGGGCTTGTTTTGTTGCAGAGTTCATAGCGAAATTCATGAGCTGGTACAAGAATTGGTGTGAAAAAGACAATAAGCGGTAGCACGTGTAACATATTGTGTCTGTCTAAATATCAATATCAAACCACTTAATATTCCAATAAATCTAAGATATTTTCTCTGTTTTGATACCAAATATATGGTGGATTTTTATTTGGATCATCCATGAAAATGTACCAAGACCTTCTTATACCACTATATACACAATATATTGTGGTCAATAATCATTTATTAAACTAGCTACTTATGTAATTATTGCATGCTGATACTCCACATCTATAATAAAACCAAGGTAATTAATTATATATATCTTTATGTTCATTCCTTAATCCCATGCAAAAGGTTTTATCTTTAAATAATGGCATATTGTATTGTACAATTTAATACTCTCCCTAATTCATAGTTTAAAGTTTATATACAAAAGATTAAAAACAAATCAATACATTAGTTTTTTTTTACTTTATAATAAATGTGTAAGTATTAATGAAATAAAAAAATAGATAAAAAATGATAACTAATATCATTTTGAACTTTTAACATAATAATTAAATTAAAAAATCAGAATTTTACATTAAATGAGAGAGGGACTAATTATATGGGAATTTATTTTTAATTATTATGGTCATATAAGGATGACAATTAAACCCAGTATCTGTGGGGGCCGACTCCTCCCCGCCCGGAGTTTGACGGGGAAAACCCGAGTTGACCGGGGACAGGGCGCGGGTTCAGGTTTTCCCTGCTTTAAAAAGTCGGGGGCAGAGATGGGTAATGCAATCCCCATTCCGACCCCGTCCTCACCCCGACTTTATATTTAAATTTAAATTTTAAAATATTAATATTTTAAAAGTATTTCCTTTTCTTTTTCTATTACATATAAGGTCATTTTTTTATATTTCACCAATTTTTTTTCTTCTACCCACTTTTTAATTTTTTGGTCTTTTTTAATCTTTTATATCAATTAATTTATTACATTATTCTTTCTCTAACATTTCAGTTTTTTACATTTCCTTAATCTCTCCCATCAACTTTTTTTTTCAATATTTTCAACCAATTTCATGAATCTTAGTAATAACTAATATTATTTTATTTATAATTTATATTTATTAGGTTTTATTATGTCATATTTTTTATCTTATTATTCTTATTTATCATATATCAAATTTTATCTTAATAAAATAATTGTATTTTAAAGGATTAAAGGAATTGATAATTTAAACTTTTATTACTTGAATTAATTGAATAAGAATTAACTTATTAAATATTTCCTTATAAACTATATATTTCATATTTTTAAATAACAACTTAAAAATGAATTAACTTATATATATAATTAAATGTTTGAATATAGTATTATAATAATAACATTATAAATATTTAAATATTTAAATATGGTGTTATAATAATAATAATATTATAAATAAAAAATGATTAAATATTTCTTTTATATACATATTTTAATATAAATATAATAAAAAATGTATAATTAATTAATAATTATAAATATTTATTTATATATAAAAAATAGATAATAAAATTAATTTATTATAAATGTAATTATTCTTTTAAAAGTAATATATATCGAAGTGGAGAATCCATCCGATACCCAACCAGAATAGAAAGTAGAGATTTAATTTCTGACTTTGACAGAAATCGGGAGATGAGATGATTAAAAAGTGGAGAACTAATTGGGTCGGGTCGGGGATGATAATCATGACACCTGTAGGATGGTCCTTACATGTGGTTGGCCCTGAACATGCAATGTTTTTTTATTTTCTTTTTCAACTAATTTACTTAATTTTGTTGCTGATCCAACCACAAATCTACACCTAATAAATCATCAACTACTACACGTAACAGTGACTTTTGGTCCTTTTGTATCAATCCTTTCCGAATCGTGGCCTATTTGATTTGAGCAGTCAAAAACAACCACGTCTTTAAACTTCAAACCATTACTCTCCTCTCTCACCAATCTTCAAGTATTTTTTTTGAATTTGAAACCTTTTAAGAACTATCCCAACTGCACCATTAGTTCCGTCATTTATCACAGCTAAACTTCTCCATTTATCTCTCTAAAATCTTTATTAACAAGGGACTGTTCTATTCAACTAATTTTCAATAAACAAGATAATCTTGAGTTGGGAGTGAGGATAAAAGGAAATTGAGTTTCCCGTCCAATCGTGTAACGTTGACAGTTGAAACCAAATTGAATTTCAACGACAAAAGCTGATTTAAAGTATATTTCCTCGGATGCTTCTTCAGAATGTTTTTGAATTGTAACCCCAGTAACACTGCAACAGGAGAAAGCTACGGTTAGCACTTGTCTACTTGTCCTTGTCGTGTATAAATCTTTTCATACATTACATTAAATTTATGTATTTGAGCATTTACTGTAATTATAAATATATCTTGACATTTTTAAATGCATCTTATTTACTTTTATATTTATGGATTTTTGAATGAAAATATAATAAAGCGGAATGTTGGGGGTAAGGTGTGAAAGAAAGATATGCTATGAGAGAGAGATAGTGTCTGATTTGAGGTAAGAAGAGAGAAAGACAAAGGACAGAGTGGGAGTTGGAGAGAGAATGAGTGGCGGAGGAGGAGAAGAAGGAGAGAGTCTGGAGTTCACTCCGACATGGGTGGTCGCCGCTGTCTGCACAGTCATCGTTGCCATTTCCCTCGCCGCAGAGCGCTTTCTTCATTTTGGCGGAAAGTTTCTCAAAGCCAAGGACCAGAAGCCGCTCTACGAAGCTCTACAGAAGATCAAAGAAGGTTTTCTTTTCTTTTTTTCCTTTTTTTCTTTGTCCCTTTCCTCACTCACCGCTTCAATCAAATTCATCTTCAAAATCATGATCTCTCTCAGAGCTCATGCTGTTGGGCTTCATTTCCCTCCTTTTGACGGTTACACAAAACGGCATTACCAAAATCTGCGCTCCACCGGGCTTCATGCGCCACATGCTTCCGTGTAGCCTCCAGGAAGCCTCCACCCATGAATCTCATTTCCAGACGTTTTATTTCCCTGGAATACCCAGACGCCTTCTCGCTGGCACCGCTCAGGAACACGCACCGCCCTCCGAGCCCGAGATTGGTTACTGCGCCCGCAAGGTCTCACACTAATTTTAAATATTATGAATATTAGATCGCATCTTCTTGTTACCCCACGCTGATTTCGCTTTTCACTTTCAGAATAAGGTACCTTTGTTGTCTGTGGAAGCACTGCACCACCTCCACATCTTCATTTTTGTCTTGGCTGTCGTACATGTCACCTTTTCCGTACTCACCGTTATCTTTGGAGGTGCCAGAGTGAGTTCTATGCCATGTCTCCTATCTCGTTATCAACTTTTCTCTTTTCTCTCTTTCTTTCATCACTTTTCTCTGTTCATAATGTGACTCTTATTCTGCATACAATAGATACGTCAGTGGAAACACTGGGAAAATTCAATTGCCAAAAAGAACTACGAAACCGACCAGGGTAAATTCAATTGCTCTTATCATTCCTTTGCATTTTTTCATTGTTACTAAATATAATATGCTTTGTGCTTTTAGTACTGCCTAATTTTATTTGCGTGAACTGAATCATCAAACATGAGCAAAGAATTTTCTAGTTCATTTTTAAATTTTATTATTTCCTCGCTCCCACTTAAATGCGTATTGGTTTAATGCAGTTCTGAAACCAAAGGTGACTCATGTTCAGCAGCATGATTTCATCAGGGGCCGTTTTGCTGGCTTTGGCAAAGACTCAGCTATAGTCGGTTGGTTGGTAAGTTATTACAAGTTTGTCATGGTCTGTAAGTTTATCGAATACGATTAGTAAGGATATACTGATGTCATCTTTTTTGTATCCTTAGCACTTATAAGCTTTATATGGATCATTTAAAGATATACTGATGCATCTTTGGTTGGATCCTTAACATTTACAAGCTTTATATAGTGCACCCGCACTTATGCCATATTTCTTTGATATCCCTGCTGATTGTCTGTGTCCAGTATTGCTTCTCCTCAATTCATTAATTTCCATCTCTTATACTTTCAATCTTATTAAAGGCTTTTAGAATATTGTTTTTAATTTTGATATACTTTTTCCTAGATATTTGTTTACCACAAAACAAATAAACTTAGAAACTCGAAGCTAAGCAAGTGCCTTTTAGTTATTTCTCCTAATTATTTGTTGTTTCTTTCAGCTATCCTTTTCAAAGCAATTTTATGGATCTGTGACAAAATCGGATTATGTGACGTTACGTCATGGTTTTATCATGGTAAATCGAATTAGCAATCTCTCTGCTAGCTATTGGCCAATCTATTCTTGAGTAATAAAAGTTATACTTTGATGCTGTTGTTTTTTTTTTAGACCCACTGCAGGTCAAATCCAAAGTTTAATTTTCACAAGTACATGATCCGTGCCCTTGAAGATGATTTCAAGCGAGTTGTTGGTATAAGGTAAATGCTTCTATATTATTGCTTCTATGCGTATGACACATATACACCATTTAATTGCCAAGAAAACTTTATTGCCATTTGTGTCATTGATTCTTTGTAATAACAATTATATCTTGTGGTTGCAGCTGGTATCTATGGCTCTTTGTGGTTATCTTCTTGTTGCTCAATATCAATGGTATGCTATAAGATATAAAGTCATGCTTCTTGTATGTCATCAGTTAATTGGCTCTGCCTAGGCTGACACTACTTTACAGTGTCAAGACTGGCATCTAAGACCCGGTTTTATGTTTTCGTATTTACCTTGTGGTTTGTTAACGGATTGTGGTAGTCTTATTTATCTCTTTGTTTATTTTGTAATGACTTAGTTTAAAGAACATTCTGATGTGAAAAAGGAAATGAGCTTAAGAGTTGTTTTTTTTATGACTTTCTGATGAATATCAAGCATCACAGTTAACAATAATGACCTACATACGTTTGCCTGTAAATAGTAATTAATCTAGTCACATGTTTTGGTTTTGCTAATTACTAAATAAACATCATTCGGAATCTCATTATTAAGATGTCTGCTTAACTTTTCCAGGTTGGCATACGTATTTCTGGATTGCTTTTATTCCTGTCATTGTAAGTATCTTGATTAAATTTTTTCCCTTTATGTGAACATTTACATGCTTTGCAGTCATTTTACTAGGCTTACAAAACTATTGTTTCTAGTAAACTGATGTGTCGTACCTTAGTTGTGCTGCATAGATACAAGGAGATTGGTTCAACAATATTCTTAAAATTGCTGTAACGCTAGCATAATATCATATCTTCTAAATTTAGTATTTGGAGAAAGACTGCCTCTTAAAACTTATTTCCAGGCATATTTTTAGAATAATTCCCACCAAATCATACTCAAGTAAGCAGGTACAGTTTTATTCAGTTAAAGTTAATCAAGCTGGGTCTCCAAAAGATCATGGAGACTCACCCTTTTCGCTCAAGGTTATTGACGAGTCTCAGTATTGGTTCAATTGGATAGAGGAAGGTGGACAGATATTTGCAAATGCACTTTAACACCTACATCAGTAATAATATATTGGAAGGGTGTGTGTATCTTGTGTCTCTGTTAGTGGTACTTGACTAGGATTCATGTCTAGGGCAGCTGATTGCCATTAGGCAATTCTCATAGAATGTGGATTCCCTTACTGGCTTAATGTTCTAGAACCCCTTGTGAGTAAAATGTAAGGGAGTGCCCACATTAGCCTTTTTGGTCTTCTTAGTGTCCAGATACATGGGGAATTTGGCCCTTGCTACTTAGTCTGGAACATGAGTTATTCATATGACATGCCTAACCAAATGGGAGGGAAGAAGGAAATTTTATTTATTTTACTGATGCTTTTGTCTTGTAATTTCTCATCAAATATTCTTGTCAGTGAGTTTTTAAGCCATAAGAGTACCGATTGTAGGCAGGATAGATTTCCAGGAATGCCATTCCTACGTATATTATTTGAAGGAATCTTGATCTTGAAACAACTAATATTATTTTCATTCTTCTGAAACTAATGCCCTAGAAGAGTGACATTTGTTATTAGTTATTTTGGAACTTTTCTTTCTGCATTTTTCCAATTATTATTTTACTTTCTATAGGTGCTTTCTTGTTAAACCTGTATGCATAGGCATGTATGCCTATTTGTTTAATTTCACCATGCAAGTTGACATGATAGGCTTTCACTGTTGGGCACATCCTTTTTTTTTTTTCCTTGCCCCTGCACTTTTTCTTCCCCTTCGTTAATGTCATAATTCTGTTTTGCATTCTTTCAGCTTTTGCTTGCTGTGGGCACTAAGCTGGAGCATGTAATAACCCAACTAGCTCATGAAGTAGCTGAAAAGCATGCAGCCATAGAAGGCGACTTAGTTGTGCAGCCATCAGATGAACACTTTTGGTTTCATCGGCCCCATGTTTTCCTCTTCTTAATTCACTTTATCCTTTTTCAAAATGCCTTTGAGATAGCATTTTTTTTCTGGATATGGGTAAGCAAATTATTCTTTTCAAGAATAAATTGGGATATTCTCTGCCAACCTTTTTTCTTATTATTCTTTTTAGTTTCTTTTTGCCTTTTGCTTTAGGGAAGCACAATGAGTGGTTGGGGGTAATTATACGAAATGTGTTCAATATGATAAACAGGCTGTGATCTCACTTCTCAGGTTACATATGGATTTGATTCCTGTATAATGGGGCAAGTTCGATACATTATTCCAAGGCTCGTTATTGGGTAACTATTAATTAATTTCTTGTCTTTTGAGCAATATGAATTCTTTCTTTCTTCGCGACTATCGAACTATTTAGCTCAATCTTTTCTCTTGTTTTCTTTTTCTGATTATTTCCTTCTATATACTGGGGTTACAGGGTATTTATTCAGGTATTATGTAGCTACAGCACCCTGCCACTTTATGCAATTGTTACGCAGGTAAACTTGCGTAAATTCATACTAAAATGCAGATTAATTTTGTGAATTTAAATAGTGTCTTCTTTGCATTGACTTTCATTGCTTCACACTGTAGATGGGAACTCACTACAAGAGGGCAATATTTAATGAGCATTTGCAACAAAACATTGTTGGTTGGGCACAAAAGGCGAAGATGAGGAAAGGACAAAGAGCAGATGGTCATCCTGGCCCAGGAAGTTCTCAGGAGAGTGGTAATACAGAAATCCAGCTTGGGTCAATTTTCCCCAAGAAGACATCTACGCCAGGAGACACTTCTTCTGCCTCCAAAGATAACGGGACCAGCTGAGTGTGGCTATCTAAGTAAAGAGTTACGATTTTATTTTGTAAAGTTGAACACGGATTGCAATTTTCTTTATATTATTTTCTTCGCTAACATAGTGTAGCATTGTCGAACATGTATTTGACTTGGTGTACGCGTATTCGCCAAAGTTTTTAGTTCTGAGTAGATGCTAGTGATGCCATTGTCTTTTCTAATATCAAAAGCAGTTCAAAAAGAACTACAGGATCGTGCAGTTTTAACCTAAGATTGAGAGACATTTTAGCTTATATTCTTATTTATAATTTAATGTATAAAAATGTTTTTAATGAATGGGATTTATGCAGATGAAATTTGGAACCGCAGGGAACCCTCATCTGCCACTCATCACTCCACTACTACACTCGACCTGTTTAAAATTTTGTGTTTTGTTTTACGCAGCAATGTAAAAAGATATGGCATCACTCCACTACTACACTTAAAATTTTAGATGTAAATTTGAAGATAGAGTCGGTAGGGAGAATGGAATCTTCCTTGTCAGAAATGTCACATAAGATACCCCACGGGAACGTGGAACGCACACCGTTTTCGTCTACAGTACGAGTACTTTTCTTTGCAGTGATTGATCTGGGGTGGCTTATTTGTCCATTGGTTTTCCACCGCCTTAAAAAACGGTTGGATCAGATACTTTAAAAATCAAGTGCAAAGTTTTGTTTTTTCGTGAATTTTATTCCCCTTTTTTTCTTTCCACTTTCCTCGTTGCCCCCTTCTCTGCCAACCTTCTTGGAAAGGTAAATTTATCAAATTTTAAAACAATAAACAAATCACTTCAAAATCCACAGAAAAAGGTTTAAAGGACGACAAGCTTTTGGGGAGGTTTTCATGGGGGAATGGAGGCTTGGGGGAGACACAGGATAATGTTGACAAAAGAGGAGGAAGAAGGTAAGGGCAAATTAGGAAATGAGAAGAAATAAAAATAAAACAAAAAGAAAATGAACAAAATCTGAACAGAACAGCTATATTTACTATGAAGAAAAAATATGTTTAAAAAAAACATATCAAACATAATAAAAGGTAAATTCATTAGATAAAATAAATAATTCAAATATTTTGCACTTGAGAAAAAAGTTTGAATGTTCTGACGTATTAATTTAACATCCACCTTATTGTATTCATTGTCGACCATTCTCCTCTTTTCTGCATGTGTGCTCAACATCAACATTTTTTTTATGGAATGAAAACTCTATTGCAAATAGTGAATGTGGAAAATGTTTTATAATTTTGATTATTACCTCACATTTCTTATGATAGTTTCATGTAACTTGTTTCACTTATGTTTGTTAGCGTGGTGTATCTTGAAGATTCTTATTTTATTAGACTCTTACTCGAATAATTAAGAATTCACGTGCACTAGAGATAGACACGAAAAATCATCATTTCACGAATGAAAATTAAAAGTATAACAATTTGGTTAAACAATATTAAATTGACTTTTTTTTATGTTTTTTTTTCTAAATAAATTTAAAATTATGTTTTTAAGATTATTATAATAGATTTACAACTTTGGCCTAATCTGCTATGTTGTTTTATTTTACTTAGAAAACTAAATATTTACTAATCAACTATCACAGTATATCCAATTACAAGAATTTATATTTATTTAGTTAAAATTAGAAATTCTTTTTAGAGCAATCAGTTATAAGTCTACTATTGCGTTAAAAATCACATATTTTTAGAATAATAAATTAAAAGATTGTAGAATCAAATAACTCCATATCCTACAAAATAATCAACTACACTACTTATAGAAGCTACAAAATAATAGAAAAATATGCTTATTATGAACTATTTGTTTTATATCCTATAGAGAAATATTTTTCTATAAATATAAACATAAGGGAGAGAAACACAAATAATTTTCTCTGAGAAAAATTAAGGAGTTTTTTCAATAACTACATCAATTATGTAGTTGTCTTTTCAAGTTGAGAAAGAGTTTAAGAAAAATTATGGACTTATTTGGTTTTTTTTGTTTTTTAAATTTTTTTATAATATTTTAAAAATTACATATTGATTTTGTTTCATGTGTTTCAAAATATGATCTGTTTTGGAGAAAATGATCTAAAAGGTTTTTCAATAAAATGTCTACCGATAATGTTCTCTAATTTTATTAGAAAGTACTTAAGATAAATTGATATAAAAATATGATTGATAAAAGTGTTTCTTTGGAGGGTTTTAGTAACCTAATATAAAACAAATTTAAGAATTTATTAACTTTTATTTTAAACAAGAATAAAAATTATAAAGATATTTATATATTTATTTTATTTATAAAATAACAAAAATGTTATAATAATAATGTGTAATACTTGTTTAAATATTTTTAAATTTTTGTAAAATTAGTTTAATTGATCTTATAATTTCTTTAAACAAGTTAATTTTATAATTTTTTTTAATGTTAAACTTTCTAAAAATTAAATTTTTTAAAAAAATTATTATAATTTTAAATTAAAATATTATATTAAATTAATATTTGATTATAATAATTAAATTATTTTTAAATTATAATGTAAATAAAGAATCATAAAAATATAGATATTTAAATAAATGAATAAGAAAGACTTAAAATTAAGGTAACCAGCAGGGAACATACACACTCGAGAAAGTCCAATTATTAATTTTGTTTTAAAAGAAAAAGAAAAAGGAAAAAAGAGTGAGAGAAGAAGAAGGGAAGGGAAGGTGCGAAATCCAAAAACCCTACTGCTGGAAGTGGAAGTGGAAGTGGAAGCGAAGGGAGGGAGAATCGAAGGAGGAAAGGGATGACGATCCATTCGATAGTGATACAGAAGCTGCTGAGCACGAATGCCCAGGTGGGTCGACGAGTTGCGACTCACCATTTCAAGGAGTACACCTATGGCTTCCGCAACAAGATGGCCATTATCGACTCCGACAAAACCCTCATTTGCATGCGCAGCGCCTGCAACTTCATCGCCGCCCTCGCCCGCCACAATGCCCGCTTCATGTTCATCAACACCAACCCTCTCTTCGACGACATCTTCGACCTCATGACTAAAAAGGTTGGCTCCTACAGCTCCTCCACCCACTCCCTCTGGCGCAGCGGCGGCTTCCTCACCAACAGCTACAGCCCAAAGAAGTTCCGCTCCCGCAACAAGAAGCTCGTCTTTGGCCCCACCCAGCCTCCCGATTGCATCGTCGTTGTCGACACTGACCGAAAGTCTAACGTTATTAGCGAGGCTTTTAAGCTTCAAATTCCCGTTGTCGCATTGGTCGACTCCGCCATGCCCCTTGATATCTATAAGCGCATTGCTTATCCTGTTCCCGCCAACAATTCTGTTCAGTTCGTTTATTTGTTCTGTAATTTGATCACCAAAACGCTGCTTCATGAGAAGAACAATCTCAAAATTGATTCTCGGTATCACGCCTTACCTCATTCTCTTCCTCCCCCTCCCCTCTTTTTTTGATCAATTTACTTAATTACTTTTCCAACGAATTAAAGAGAAGAAGCACCGCGCAAGGGCAAGAGCGATTTGGATAAGTTTGGCTTAACCGTAGTTCCCTATGCTAGTTTAGCTCCCTTACCCGAAGGTAAACTGAAAAGTAGTTGCAAAACAAACTTACTTGCTTTCTGTTTTCTCTTCCTATTGCCTTTTAAAAACTTGACCTCAGGCGTTTTCACATCCAAAGCAGATATAGAGGAAACCAAAAAGCTTTTGGACAAGCTTGTTGTTTTGAAGTTCAGTGGTGCCAAGGGAAGAAATATGGATTTTGAGGATCCCAAGTAAGCATTCACCCAACTCCTCACTTTATCTCCTTGTAAATTGGATTTGATGGAGCCTCTCCTATATTTAATATATGTTTTTATACACAATTTCCTAGTTGAAGGCAAGCATGTCTCAGTCAAGTCTGAATTCCATCTTCTGTTTTGGAGGGTTCACACTTTTTTACACCCGATTTGTTTTATATGTTTTTACCTTCCTGTTTGTGTTGCTACTGTTTTCTACCCTTTTTTCTCTTCTACGTGTAATCAAAGTATTATGAAACAATTAGTTCTTTTTACTTTGTTTTGTGTTTGTTTACTTAGGCATAAAGAAGTACATGAATAACAAGTACATTTGTTTCTATTTATTCACATCAAGTGTTTAAAGTCTTTTTCCTTTTTTGCCCTTGTACTCCCCATCCATTCGTTATTCAAAACTCCACACTTGTTAAAAATTTACACTGATAAAATGTTTTTCCTCTCATGTAGATCTGCAATTAATATTAGTGATGGACTAACATTTCTGGATTTGATCATTAACCAGCTTGAGGTGAGACATTTATACTTAAGTTATGACAATCGCATTTTCTTATATTACTATACTTATATGCAAATCATTGGTGTATTCTCGTTTTTTATGAATGATCCAGATTGTGCACATACCGTGTACAGTATCTTCAAATCTTGTGTTCCCTTACTATATGATTTCCATTGACTGGTTTTCTTTGGTTCTTACTATTTTTCTATTGCGATATTGTAGACTCTCAACTCTAAGTATGGATGCAGGGTTCCATTGCTTCTTTTCAACAAAAACGACATTCATGATAGTTCTCAAAAGGTGAAATGCCATTTCAATTTCCTTATGTAATTGTTGATCTCAGCTACTGTTGAATCTTCAGCTTAATTTCCATAGGTTTTGGAGAAGTATTCAAAATCAAGTGTTGAAGTACACACATTGAAACAGGTTTGTGTTTGTTTCATTTTGGATGAAGTGATATTGGTTTGTGATTTCTTATGGTCAATTCATCGTAATATATATTATGTAGGGTGAAGGTGGAGAATTGAAATCATCGGGTGGACATTCCAGTAAGGAGGAAGTGTATGTCATCTTTCAAATATCTGTCTATTAAATTCAATTCTAAACTAGATGTTTATGTGCGTGTTTGTAGAGTAAGACATCGCAAATATGCTCTGATTGATGGTATTGTTATTATGTTATGGACATTCTAAAAACGGTGTTATTAGTGTTACCCTGATGTAGTCGAGATGTTATAAGAGTAATTTAGGAGTGGAAACAATGCATAGAGTCATCGAATTATACATTCTCTTTAAATTGACGTTTAAGTTTGGTTTGACTTGAAAAATAATAAAATAAAAGGTGACCGACGGCTTAAAACTCTCACTTGGTGGGGTTTAGGGAGAGTAGATATATGCAGCCTTTCCGCTGCAGGCTGAGAGGTTGTTTCTCGGATTTGAACCTGTGACCTGGTGGGTCACTGTTTGTATACAATTGGAAGGTATAGGGCTTGAGTCCCACATTAAAAGTATGGTATCCTAATGTGTGGTTTACAAGGTTTTGGTCTCTTCCAACAACAACGACTAGCTTTTGGTGGTGTAGTTCTTCCTCCCTAGATTCTTATCAGTCACAAGGGCATATAAAATCAGTGCATGTAAAAATATATCTTCAAATTTTCTTTATTATTCCATGATATATTCACATTCATCATTTTGAAATTACCAGTAAATATTTAGTAGCTGTAAATTAAGAGATGTCAAATAATTTGTCAGCAAGTAAGCTACAAAATTTGGTGTCTCAAGTGGTCAAAATATAGTTATTAGTAAATAAAACAACAGAAAGAATATATATTAATTTATTGAATTGTGTTGTCCATTGCTTGCAAATTGGCTTTCATGATAAATGATTTATCATTTTAACCTAACCCCACTAATTCTACATGTGAAGGCATCCATTTGATGATGTTGATGTGTTCCATACACTCATGACTGGTGGAACCCTTGATTCATTATTGTCACAGGTATGAACATTTTGTGCAGTTGAGCACTGGCTCTGCCTAAGCTGTTGTCCTGCTACTTTAAAATCTGTCTAGGGCTTACGACACTTAAAGTTGAATCTTACAACTGTAACAATACAATGCTATGATTAAATATGTTCATATATTGGGGATGTGCATTTATTTTTCACAGTTTTTACTAAATTATTCATATTATTTTCCAGGGTAAAGAGTATATCCTAGTGTTGAAATCAGAAAATGTGGCAACAGTTGTTGATCCAAGTATCCTTCATATAGTTTTTATCATTAATGACTATGTTTTTAGAAGCCATTACTCGTTACTTGCTAACCTAGCTTTGAGATTAACATATTTTGATTTTTGTCAACCTTGACTGTCTTGTAGACATACTAAATCATTTGATGATAAATGATATTGAATATTGCATGGAGGTAAGCAGAAATATTTTTATCCATCATATGAAGTGTTACCACTTCTTCTTAAGTAATAGTAGTTATCTATTTCATTTTCTTTCCTTTCTTTCCAGGTGACACCAAGCCATTCGTTTAACTTAATCTTAACTGCTATGAAATTTAAGGTATATTTTATTTTCCTTTACTTTTACTCCCTTCTAGTCTCTAATATTTGTACCAGACAAGAAATTCCTTGATACTTAATCAACTGGTCTTCAATATTTCGGCAAGTTTTACGATGTGCCATCATATATGAGCATTTATTGCATATTAAGAAAACAGGAAAAGCATTCATCCTTCTAATAGTCGGAGATTGTTGGAAATTGAAATTTTCATTGTCATTGGGGATATTGTACGGAAAACATATTATTATTGTCTGATTGAATTAGTAGCTTTTGAGGATCAGTACTCAAGACCTAGTAGCCCTTGCTAAATGATTATTATCTAATGGGGTAATTTGTTTGCTAATAACCTGTTAACTATGACATATATAATATAACATATCTTTGGCTGATTATTATATGTTTGGTTAATCTATGCAGCTTCGAGAGATTGCTCAAAACCAAGATAAACATGTAAATTGTAATTTCTATTTTAATTACTTTTCATGCAGTTGTATTATTTGATTTGATTTTAGTTAACAGTTTTAGAAGTTTTATTCTGAATTTCTGACAACACATCTGAGAATATTACGAATCTGTTTTTTTTTTCTCTCGCTAATGTAATATATTTTTACTATTGATGTTTTGAAGTTGAAGGACAATTTCAAACTCATTGATACAAGAAACATGTGAGTGAAATGGTGATTTTTGTTGAATATAGTATTGAAATTTACCAAATGTGCTAAATTCCGTGTGTTGCACTTTGCATAGGTGGGTGAGTTTAAGAGCCATCAAGAGGTTTGTTGATACTGACAAACTAAAGCAGAAGAAGCCCACAGTTTTGAAGGTATCATTTCCTAGGTGTCATTAGTTCATTATTCTATTGATTACTTATGTAAAACTGAATTGAATGGGTTACTCCCACCAAGGAAATGACTATGGTCAAACTTTTCTACAGGATACAGCAACTGGATCAACTATACAGGTACGTGGATAATTGTTTATGGCTTCTCTAGTGCTTTTTGTGCTTGTGCTTCTACTTTTATATTTTTTATTATGCATAAAATAGGATCATACCTAACATTGGGGCGGCAATAATTGCAGTCCTTGAGTTTTGAACAATTTAATTACGGCCATATATACATTTAGTTAAAATACTGTGGCGTGTTATGAATTTATCTAAAGCTTTAATGGAATAAATAGCCATTCCTTTAAGGGTTAGAAACTTTTCCCCTATATTTGATTAAAGAAATCTCCCCATTTATATAGCAATCATGGATAAAAATAGGAAGCTGTTGAATCAACCTTTTTTTCTTTTATTTGGGTAAAATAAATTTTATTAGTGAATGGAAGATATAGAAATACAAAATGATTGGAGGATAAGAAATCCTGAACAAAGATAATTCAAAAAGACTAAAAATAATGAGATTAAGAATGAATCTTGTAAATCCTAATCACTGTTGGAAAGCTGTCCAATCCCTTTTTTTTAAATTTTCTAAATACTTATATTTAAATAAACCAAACTTGTGATGCATTATAGAAAACATGAAAATGATACTGTCTAAACAAATTCAGAAGGAATACACCCTTGAAGCTGCGGACAGTTCTTCCCAAATACAGAACTCCATAAACAGCTAGGGGTGGTAAAGCAATCCATTTTTCCAACATCTATACTATCCATCTATAATATCTATCCTTTTAATTTTATGGATATTAATGATTCAGCTACTATTTCTGAAAATCTAACCAATCCTCTTATCAACAGTTTATGGATCAATATTAAAACAACCAATCTTTTCATAATTAAATCCTTAAAAAAATTTACCCTTTTAAAAAGTTTTCAAAAATATATTTTTAAATTTGTTTTACAAAACTTATTTTTGAAATTAAATTTTTGAGAAGAAACTATTGACTAGTATAACAGAAGCTCGTTTCAGCTAAATTTGAAGTTTCTAGTTGTTTTTAATGTGTTTTATTTGCCAGTTCTTTGATAATGTAATTGGTGTCTCTGTGCCTGAATCTCGCTTTCTTCCATTGGATGCAACATCAGATCTGTTACTTCTTCAGGTGACACCAGCTTCATTGTATATGCAAATGATGTTACTGGAAAGCACACTTTGTTTTCATGACTGATACCCTTTCACCAATTATGTATTCTTGCAGTCAGATCTATACACATGTAGAGAAGGTGTTTTAACTCGCAATCCAGCTAGAACTAACCCTTTAAATCCTGTGATAGACTTGGGGCCGGAATTTGAAAAGGTGAAAATTTAGTTTGTTCTCGTCTTATATTTGCATAGTTATTACCTTTCTTATGTATATGTTTTATTTTCAGGTTGGTGACTTCCAAAGTCGTTTCAAATCCATTCCAAGCATCATTGAGCTAGATAGTTTGGTGGTGAGAGGTGATGTGTGGTTTGGAGCTAATATTACTTTGAAGGTACAATAGATTTTCCTTTTCCTGTTTGTCGTGCATCATGTTGAATACTTCCTTTGTTGTTCGTTCTTGAATATCAGGGATTTTTGTCATAACTTAGAGGAGCCTTTATATGCCAATAGATTATGATCTTACCCAATTTATTGCAAATTTTCAATACTAATAAAGATTTACAAGAAGCTCTAAAATCATTAGAACATGTATGAGTGGATATGTCAGAAGACTCCAAAATTGCAGCCCAATATTTAACGCACATCTGTAGGCCTGAGCAGGTCCAACTCCTCTGCCACTGAGTAAAACGGGGCTGAGAGATCTGGATGGAAATAAGACATCACCTGTAGAACCCACATACAGTGGCGTAAAGATTTGAAGAATTAAGCTCTTCTTCTAAGAGTCGAGGCAGCCACATAGTGTCTCCCCCCTCTCTCTCATATTAACAAAATTTTGGAAGATGGTGTGTAGGGAGGTGGAAGAGTGGGAGTCTGATAATGAAAATGATAATAAAGTAGAAACTATATAATGTGTGAAGTTAAAGCAGAAAAATCTGAAGATAATTATGGTCTCATCCCATGGTCAAGCACTGTCTTTCTGTTAAAAGATTAAGCTATAAAGTATATGCTAATATTTGTTTTATACCTGTAACGCATCCTCTCATGCAAGAATCCGGTTGACTTGAAGAGACAACCTGGACAATGTACGGGCTCACTCACTGAAAATAAACTATATTCAGAAAATGAAGGGTGATTAAGCTCAGACTCATCCTGACCATTCCATTATAGAGGGCCATGAACTATTGGGTGAAGGCCACTGTTGGATTAATATTTCAAACATGCAAAAAGATAATTCGTAAAAGATATAAATCATTTTTTTTTAATTTTAAAGTGATGAATCTCTGGATATCAGTAGACACCTTGTTAAGTCCTCCTTTTGAAAATAATTGTTGGATTCTTCTTTTCTCTTTAAAAATTTTCTTGTAAGCCTCTACGGTTTCTGTTTATTAGAAACTTGGGAAAAATTTTGCCCTTAATATGGAATAGAAGATTGAAATTAGGTCAACTGAGAGTACAATACAAATGTCATTATAACTTATTGTAAGCATTCAAATTCAATGAACTTTTCAATTCATATAATTTATAACACTTATTTTCAGGGACAAGTGACTATTGCTGCAAAACCTGGCTTGACATTGGAAATTCCAGATGGGGTGACGATCGAGAATAAGGTATAACACTAACTTCGGTATGAGCTTTTCGGGAATGTTTTATTACAGAAGTACCTTTTCATGGGTTTTATTTTCCTTGATTCTGTTGGGGGTTGTAAGCGGGGTTTGTGTTGGAAGATTGTTTTGTTGGAAGTGGCATAACGGGGATTCATGTCATTTGTTTTTACGTCTTGTCATCATTGGTTGGATAGCCTGACCTGACTGTGCGCCTAAGCACAATGGAGGCGGGTCATATTTAATGGAGACGGATGCCTTCCAGCATCCTGACACGGAACAAGAGGATTATGCATGATTTTCCAGCATTCGATCCATAACTATTACTAGTATAATTAGTATAATTCGATGATTATGATATTTTTCTGATACATTCTGCCGCTTCACAGGAGCTCAACGACCCTGCAGGTATCTGAGGACGAATGAATGAAGTTGCTCTGGGATTTGGTTTAGTGAATACATCATGACTGCTAAATTAAATTACAGTGATGTACAATTTACTGTGTCACATTAGCATTCACCGGCCAGCCATCTTTTAGCTTTCTATTTGCCGAGAACTAGAAGGTTTCAGAAGAACATAGTTCCTTACACATTTTTCTGCTTTCAAACAGCATGATACTGGTGAAATAATTGTGTACTCATCTATTTATTCATTCTATAACTTTTAGTGCAAGGCTTGACATGAGTCACAGCTGAGGGCAGAACAAGAAATAAGAATGGATTCAGTTTTGCTGATCTTTTGCCTTGATACTATTAGAATCACACCAATTGATTATTGTACCAATGAGTTGGAGCATACAGGGCAAACATTTTTGTCCTCTTATAAGCTATTTGTTCTTTTTTATACTTGTCTTGCTTTAATTGAAACAGATTTTCTCTAAAATGAAAATTTCTCGTCATTGCGTTACTCGGGCTACTCCAAATAGATGACTAATCTAAAAATTCAATTTAGCTGCTATGTTTTAATTTGGTGTAGTGTTTTAAGATCTGAATTTGAAAATTAAATTAAATCTAATAGCATTTGTAAAGGATATTTAAAATAAAAAGCATAGAACTAATGTAAAAGGTATAATAAAGCTTGACAAAAAAAGGGGGGAACTTTACTCTTACCCAACTAATTTAAATAATATAATGGTGGTAAAAAAGTTTACCCATACCCAACTGATTTTTATTCCCCCATCGGTTTAAACTGAATTGATTTGAGTTCATCTAAATTGTTTTTTCTAAAGAAAATTTAAAGTTATTTATTAATGAAAATATTTCAGGTATAATTTTATCACTATATATAAATTTTCGTGAGGGATAAATTTTAAATTCGACGCAATTCTATGCACGAAGGACTGAAGTAGGAAAATATTTTAAAGATTAAAAACAGGCATTTTTCAACTATCCAAAATAAAAAACATTTAACTCAGTTAATTAAATTAACATTTATACTTAGAAAATCTTCTTACAGAATACTTAGCATATGTTAAATGAGTTAACCAATAAATGAAAATGCTCATTGAATTCAATCAATTTTGAGCAGATTTTATATAGCAACTAAAATAAAAAGCTGATTCTTGTTTAACAAGTTTCAAAAGACAAAAAAAAAAAATTGTTTGTACATAGTTTTAATTACTAATTACTAAAATATTCGATTTAGATGTATTCTTCTAAAGTGATAGATGTTTTTAAAAGGAAGTAGGAAATTACTACCTACAACCCGAGAGGCCCATATAAATTGAACCGGGCCAGGCTTGACTACTAAAAGTAACGGGTCTATCCATTCCTTATCGTAGCACACACAGAAGGAGAGAGAGAGAGAGAGAGAGAGGATAAGAGTGTGTCTGTTTTAAGCTTAGTAGTGTTGTTTTGTGTGTATGGCAGTGTCTCCATATTCCATTTCGCTTCACAAACTGTGACCCTCTTTCAGATAAGCAAGCAGCCATGTCGATCTTGTCTATTCCGTCGCCAATCTATTCTTCTTCTTATTCCTCCCTTTCAATTTCTCGGCTCCCGTCTTCTCTGACGGCTCAGACACTGCAATTGAGCAGAAGAGCAAGAGGGAAAGGTGTGGTCGTAATGAGTATGGAGGCGGGTATTGGAGTCATGGGCACCAAATTGGGTATGATGAGCTACTTCCAACCCGACGGTGAGGTTGTTCCTGTCACTGTCGTTGGCTTCAAAGAAGGCAACATTGTCACGCAGATCAAAACTGAGGCCACCGATGGCTACAACGCCGTCCAGGTTGGTTACCGAAGGGTCAGAGACCGTAAATTGACCAAACCCGAAATCGGTCATCTCGAAAAGGTTGGTGCCATTCCCATGCGTCATCTTCAGGAGTTCCGTCTTCAAACCGTTGATCAATTCGACCTTAACCAACGCCTCGTTTTGGATGAACTTTTCGAGGAGGGTGATCTTGTTGATGTCTCTGGCACCACCATCGGCAAGGGTTTCCAAGGTCATCTCTCTTCAACTTCTTCCATCCCTACCTTTTTCTAAAATTTCCCCTTTCATGTTGCATATACCTACTTCACTCCACTGTATTTCACATCATAATCTGATATAATGCTCACAAGTAGGGCGTTCAAATGAAATTTTAGATTGAAATTTTGTCCAATTTACTTCATTTGCAAAATTTTCAGTAACGGTAGGGAATGGTGCTGTAGGTCCAAATTGATGTTACTGAATGGCCGATAATATGAGATTTTATCTTTTTCAAATGCCAAAAATCTATGACAATTGAGTGGGAATTGCACTAGTTGCATACCTGAAACATCATGTAATAAAATAATCTTGTTTAAGAAGCTAATTTTTTGAATTTATTTTCTAGATTGAACTTGAATTCCCTTTTGCTCATATGAACACTGGTTGGGCGTTGCTTATTTGATTGAAATATTTGACAGGTGGAATCAAGCGGCATAACTTCAAAAGGGGTCCAATGTCCCACGGTTCGAAGAGTCATAGACAACTGGGATCAATTGGTGCTGGAACCACACCTGGTCGTGTGTACAAGGGAAAGAAGATGCCCGGAAGGATGGGAGGAACGAAGAGGAAGATAAGAAAGCTTAAGATTGTCAAAATCGATAAAGATCTTAACGTGGTAATGATCAAAGGTGCTCTCCCTGGTAAGCCTGGAAATCTTCTGCGGATAACTCCAGCCAAGATTGTGGGCAAGAACATTCCAAAGAATTAGCATATCTTGCCTTTTTGTTCTCACTTCATCGTTGCCTTCATTAACTTGTCTGTAATTTTTGCATTCCTCTGTTAGCGCTTTAGTTGCTACTCTATTTATACCTACTACTTACTACTATTGCTTTTTTCAACCCATTGAGTTACACACCACCTTTCCAGTATGAGTTCCATATCTCAATTGATCATCGAAAGATAGAGAAATTAAACCAGAACTTCATTCATTTCTCATGTCGTAGTTTTGTTAACTGGATTGTTTTCACTCCATTTTATTGATTTTATTTTACCAATATGTTTTAGAGTGAGTGGAAGGAACTTGAATTCTGTATCATATTTTTCTTCTTCGCATTTCCTCTCCCTCTACCTTTCTTCAACACTCAACAATCCTCCTCCTTTGTTTTTCTTTATTTGAGACATTACAAATTCTTTGTTCAAAACAAAATAATGTTGCCCACCGCAACTGGAAATCCTTTCTAGCAGCTATCACCAGCGACAAGCTTTTAGTTTTTTGTTGTAGCTGGCTAAAGAACACTGTGTAGATGGTTTATTCGATTATATCTGGATCAGATAAATCTTTCAGTGTATAAAAATGGTCCACGGTAAGTCACATGTAGAAGTTGTGCACCTCAGCATTGGTCCTGAAATTGTTATAACTTAAATTATAATTTCGGGTTTCAGAAAAATAATTTTCTGTTCATAATTACCTTCATCAACTTAAACATCATCCTTAACTTCAGCACCTCCAACAGAGGTTCGGGAAAAAAAAAAATTCAAAAGCAAAATGTGACTTCTAATTATATATAATAGTAATAATAATAATAATAATAATTACTAGATTAAAACAAATATGAGATAAAAAAATAAGAATTCATTTTTTATTTAGAATAAATAATATATGTATATTTCAATTAAATACATGAAATAAATAATTATATTTTTATTTTATTTTATCTGTTTTTTTTACTCTTTCGTCATATATTTTCACCAGTCCACATTGCCAAGTTATATAATACCTAAGAGTATAAATAGTTATTTTTTTAGTTTAATTTTATGTATTATCATGTATTAATTTGATTTTTAGTTTTTACAAATCTATTTTTAATATTTTAAAAACTATTTTAATTTCCCAAGTTAAAAATTTAGAACTTATTTATTTATTTATTTATTATTTTTAAAAATATTTTTTAATACTTTGTTACAATAATTTTATTTTTTTATATTAACATTTTTATCAATAATTATATTACATTATAATAAAATTATGTAAAATTTATTTTAAATTTTTATCATAATGTTTTATCTTATTTTTTAAATTAAATTAATTTTTAAAAATATAATTATCAAATGACTTTTTAAATTTATATTTAAAAATATTTTTAAAATTAATTTCTAAACAGTTTTTGAAAAATAAAAAACAAAACTAAATATCTTTTAAATTTATTATTAAGAAGCTAGTAATGGTTTAAAAATATCCTTTGAATTTAGTATATTAAAATTTGGTCTACCATAAACATGATTAAGGGTGTTACTCGAGTAGAACTATTTATAATCTGGAATGAAACGCGGTGTAGATTGTTGATTTGAAGAATAAAAAATTTTGGAAGAGGAGAGGTGAAGTAAAACCTAGTTTAGTTTAATCTCCAGAATGGAAGGGGCAGGCGAAAGGAAAAGAGGGGTCCGTTTATGCTGCGTTTGCAAGAAAGCAAGAGCTTCGGTGAAGAGGCCGAAAACCCTAGACCATATTTGCAGGGAGTGCTTCTACCATGCTTTCGAATCTGAGATCCATCAAGTAATCATTCGCAACTCACTCTTCAGGCCAGGGGAACGCGTCGCAATCGGTGCTTCTGGCGGCAAGGATTCCACCGTCCTTGCTTACGTCTTGTCCAAACTCAACCGCCTCCACAATTATGGCCTCCATCTCTTCCTTCTGTCCGTCGACGAGGGAATCACCGGCTACCGCGACGACTCTCTCGAGACCGTTCATCGGAACCAGGTTCAGTACGGTCTCCCTCTCAAAGTAGTGTCATACAAGGACTTGTACGGATGGACTATGGACCAAATCGTTGACGTCATTGGTTTCAAAAACAATTGCACTTTCTGTGGCGTCTTCCGTCGCCAGGCCCTTGATCGAGGTGCTTCTCTCTTGAAGGTTGATAAACTCGTTACTGGCCACAACGCCGACGATATTGCTGAGACCGTTCTCCTCAACCTCCTGAGGGGAGATGTTGCTAGGTTCTTTCTCTTTTCTCATCTTCCATTCCTTTGCACTGCTTTCTTTTTTCTCAATTCAACCATTTGTTTTCTCACACACATTTTTTCTTTGTTTTTTCATAGATTGAGCAGATGCACCTCTATTACCACCGGTGAAGATGGGCCAATTCCCAGATGCAAACCTTTCAAGTATACTTACGAGAAGGAGATTGTCATATATCCTTTCATTTCCTTCCCAGATTCTATTTTAATTTGAAATCATTTTCTGTTTTGCTTTATTGCCCTCCACGGTTCCAGTCCAAACCTTGACTCCTTCATTACGTATGCTTATTTTAAGAGGCTCGACTACTTTTCCACTGAATGTAAATTTTTATTTATAATCTGCGTATACATGTATAATCTTTATTTTCTCATCAAACGGCTTAGTAAAACATTCTGATTATAATTGCAGGCATCTATTCTCCAAATGCTTATCGAGGTTTTGCTCGCGAGTTCATCAAGGATTTGGAAAGAATCAGGTAAGTTGCTGCTTTACTTATGCTACCTCGTATTCTTGCACTTACGCACGAGTTTTGGTGGGTTTATGTTTAACATGAATGCAGACCTAGAGCCATTCTTGACATCATCAAATCGGGGGAGAATTTTAGGATTTCTACCACTACCAAAATGCCCGAACAGGGAACCTGCGAACGGTGTGGTTATATTTCTAGTCAGGTATTTTCCTGCATGAATATGAAACCTCGTCTAAACTGCTCTTTATGCATACAATATAATGGGGCATTTCAATAAACAAATATGGTTTGTTTGGGTATCTATTTATGTGCAGAAATGGTGTAAAGCCTGTGTTCTGCTTGACGGACTGAATAGAGGTTTGCCTAAACTGGGGATTGGACGAAGTCGTGGCAGTGTTGGTTCTGAGAACGGAAATGAAAGTAAAGTGGAAAAGAGCATCCAGGGAAAACAATGTGGAACTCTAGACTTCTGATTCGAATCTGTACTTGTATTAATCAAACGTTGGTGCTGTAACTATCGATCAGTGAGTTCAAATCAGAGGCAGTTATTGATAGTGGAATTATCTGTCTACTTGGGGAGCACCAAACTACATGATAAGCAGACTCTTTATTAGTAGGAATTGAACATGTGTCAAGGAGTTTACAACAAGTCATCCACATCAACCGAACTAGACCCCTTAACATGATAAACAGACTCTACCCACAGGCAGCAGAACCTGAGAGATTCTGAAACTGAGGGTTTCTCATGATAAACTAAAATAGAATGTTCACTTTGGTTGCATTTTGTCCAGACGTGACTCGTCAATTTAATCATACATCTTTAGCCTTATTTTTGTGGGCAACATGTTGTCTGTTGTACACAGTCGGTCAATTAATACTAATGGTCTGTATGGTATGGCTGGGAGAAGGGCAGTGAAGAGGCAACACATGTTGTCAGTTGTACACAAATATTTAATAACCTTAGATTTATTAATTAAATATTGAATGGTTATGATTTATTATTGATAACTTTATAATTATTTTTCACATTAACATTATTTTACATTTTAGTCGTTTAACTTGGTTTTGCACTTCTCTTTGACTTTGCAAGTGTTAAACCATCACAACTGTCATCTTCGCCGCAGCTACAGCCCACTCTCCCACCACCACCTCAGTGTCGGGTTTGAGTTTCAAAATTTTAACAGGCTTTTACATTTTGCACCTATATAATGATGCCCTTGCACCTCCATAATTTTTAAAATACCAAGTTTGCCTCAGTCCTTTTTAATTTTAAGCAGTAGCTTAACCTTTGATTTTAATCGCTCCGTGGTGAATGGTGCGTGAAAACTCGCGGAAGTTTATTGCTTGTATATTTTTGGGTAGGTGATTAGTTTGTTTTAGGTGGCTAACAGTGGATTGAAACTGTGTTTGAATACCTTTCGAAATAGAAACCGTTTTGAAAATCTTTCAAAATTAAAGAATGCTTCTTTCAGAAATGGTTTTTGTCTCGGATTTTAAACTATGGAATTACTTCTCATCCTGTATTTGGTTTGTATTCCGGAATTATTGTCTTGTTATTTTGGAATAGATGTTTAGAATGATGAAATGGTGTATGTTTCGGATAATGAAATGGTATGATTTTGTATTCAGATTGATTAGTATGAAAGATGTTATTTGTGTTCCGAAATGATATCTGTAGATGCTTGTTGAACAGTGCTGTTATTTTGGTCTTTCAAATTTGATGGGAGGAGGTGCAGTGCAGGATGAAAGTACGAAGATGCAGAAAACAAAAAACCTTTTTAACACAAATTAAATTTTTAGTCCAATCAAAGAAAATTATATGATTGACAACTAAACTTTAAAACTGATAAAATAAAAAACACACAAACTTGATATGTTGCATTTTAGTTAAAATTACTCTTTTTTTCATACTTTTAAGATATTTGACATATTCTCTTAGAAAATTATATGCATTGTTTTTTCCGTTGATTTATTATTATCATTACTATTTCCCATGTAGAAAAGAGATACTAATTGGAATCAAGATAAGAGAACAAAACTATATGAGAATCTTGTGAAAGAATCCAAATTTTGGGGTTTTCTTTTTACACCACACAAATTTTTTCTTCACCTCTCAAAATTTCAACATAATTTTTTCCTTTATAACATGGGAGGTGCAAAGGGGTGAAAAAGGGAATTCTGCAATGCACATTCTAAAATAAAAGTTATCCGTAATGGGCATTAAAAAAATAAAAGTAACTTCAGAATATAATACATTATGTAATAATAAAGGTTTCATATTCTTCCTCATTTTGGAATGAGTAATTCAAAATTTATTTTTAACTTTAAATTTTTAAAAGAACCTACAAAAAGATTTATTACTTTTTTTTAACATCTTAAAAATTTCTTCTATAATGTTCATATCTGAATGATTTTTTAAAAGGGTAAGTTTCAATTTGGATAAAGAAGATTACTTCGCTTGGAAACTTGCTGTTGTTTAATGTATACAAGAACTAGTGGGGGTAAAATTCAATTAGCTTTTCTTTTATATATATATTTTTTCAAAATAGTTCAAAATGATGATTCAGATATTTTAGACTTAACTCTAATAACATTTAAACTTAACTACCATCTCACCTGGATCATCCTCCTGCATCCACCTCACAAGCTGCGGCAGCTTCTTCTTCCCCCTCCTTTACCCCAACCCCAAACCACAACTAGAATCCGGTCATAAATATCTACTTTTAGTGCACCAAAACGCAGCTAGCATGCCAGCCCTTCTCACAGCCACAGGACGAGTGACAGTTTGTTATGGGTTGCCACTTTGCTTCCGCAAAAACAGGGCTAAGAAAATAAAAAGGTTATTCCACTTCCAGATTTCTATCTGGTATTTACAAAGGAACAATATAACAATAGGATGAAAATTTAGATCCGCTCAAATTACTTTACATATAATAATGTCTTGTTATTAAAAAAAGTGTTTATAACTCACCATAATTTTATTTGTGTATCAGTCTTGTATATGTTAGTCAGTCATACGAGAATATAAATATAACGGAAAAAATAGAATAATAGATTAAAGAGGTATCCAAATATTTGAAATACAATTTGCTAGCTGTGTTCATGTCTAATACTTAGTTGTTATAGCATTTAAAACAATTGGTCTCATGGTTATATCATCATACACTAACCAAAAAGGTATTACCTTTCACGATCCGCTGCATCTACAAAACTACGTTGTTATCTTATCACTAACGACAAACACAGGAAGTTCTAGCTACACAAGGAAGCCCCTTCATTACCCCGTTCAGTTACTATGTAGGACTATAGCGGAGATGCAACTCATAGAAATTGATCAGCTGAAAAATTACGAAAAACGTTAGCTATAGGTAACAGAGGCAATATCAATATTTTCAAAAGATGTTGAAGCCAAGCAAAATTGACAACGAACTTTGCTCAGATTAGGGATTACCAGAAGTGGATTGTATGCCTTGAGATATCTGTTATTCACCATCACTTCTGTTCCATCAGACCTGTTAGGTTAATCAGGTAAGCTGTTATGTGAAGAAGCATGCAGTATGATTATGAAAAATAATCCAGTTCACTTCAATTTCCGTGAAAGAGTTGGATGATACAAACTTAGTAAAGGAAATAAAGTCCTAGACTTCCATAAAATAATGTTACGTCAAAATTATTTTTCACTTTGCTAATTTTGAAGATGAGTATTCCTTTTTGTTACATATTTGTTTTATGCATTGAACATGACTTCATATTTCTGTTTCAATTTGATGAACAAATAAATTCTGTAATAATCTGACAAGTAATATTTATTATATTATATTTGTTGATGACTTCACGGGTTTGATTTTTTTTTTTTTTCCAATTACAAATTGAGGGGCTGAAATTTTTTGGAAATCGAACTCAAGGTTGAGAATGAAGGTGGTCTCAAAATTCAAATTTTGAGGCACAAATGGCACAAAAACACATCCAAATTTTGTGAGTATCGAACATCAACTTACCACTCCGTGTACCAACAACAAAACAGGGTTAGCAAGAGTAGAAAAGATATATCTTTGAGATGACAATATACATGTTGTACAAGAAGAATTTGCCAAAAAAATATTTGGATAGATGCAGTAAGGACAATGTTTTTTCTTCAAAATAGACTCTTCACGGAGATATTGATTAATCAAACATTTCAGGCCCGGCATGGTTATAAACCATTATGTGAAATTTCTTAAAATATTTGGTTATTTGTGTTTTACTCATGTTTCATATAACAAGAGATTAGCAAGCAATAAGCTGGATAAAGAGCATCACCAAGATTTTATTATAGGCTACAATGCAATTAGCAAAGCCTATAAAATCTTTCAACCATAATTTGGAAAAAAAAATTAGCAGGGATGTTCACTGTGTGGAAGATGAAGAGTAGACCAGGGATGATCCAAAGAAGATGGATCAAGATTTTAAATATCTGCACCAAAACTTTCGTGCATCGACTTCAGAATGGGTTAGTTGATGATGTTCCTGTAAGTGGTAATAGATTGCTCTCTGGTGTGTAGAACAAATGTAACATTGTTGTATGTGAGCCCGCAGCCTATGAAGAAGAAGAAAATCTCCAATTGGGTTACAACAATGGAGGAGATCTTTATGATAAAGAGAAACTAAACCTGGAATCTTGTTAAAGTACCACCAGACAGGAAAGTTATTTGATTTAAATGGGTATATAGAACTAAGCTTAATGCTCATGGTTCAATCAACAAACAAAATGCTAGACTTGTGGTGAAGGATTATGCTTACGTTTTCTAGTGTGAATAACTCAGATACATTTGCACCAGGTGCTTTCTTAGACACCATCAAGCGGTTGCTTTGTTGTAGCTGCTCCAAAGACTTGGAAAGTTTATCAACTTGATGTCAAATCAACATTTTTAAATGGTTTGTAGAAGAAATTTATGCTGAACAATCCCAAGATTTTGTAAAGGAAGCAGAAGAACATAAGTTTTATCTTCTCACAACAGCTCTCTACAGGCTAAAACAAGTCTGAAGAGTTTGGTACAACACAATTGATGAACATTTGTTGAGCTGGGGATTTTCTAAAAGTTTGCCATAGTCAACATTATATGTCAAAATAGATGGAACTGATATTATTATCATCTCCCTATATGTGGATGATCTTGAGCTTGTAGCAAGAAACAACTCAAGCCTGGAGGAGAAATTTAAGAAAGCAGAGATGGTAGTGTTTGAGATGACAAATCTTGGTTTAATGACCTTCTTTCTCAGAATGGAAATCAAATACGCAAAACATGAAATCTTCATTTGTCAATAGAAGTATGCTAAGGAGATTTTGAAAAAACTTAAACTTGAAGAATATAAAAAAATGAGCACTCATATGAATCAAAAGGAAAAGCATTTTAAGGAAGATGGAATAGAGAAGATATACCAAACATAAGCATGATTGGTTGTTTAATGTATCATACAACCACACGACATCCTAAATTCTTTAAGTATTTTGTCTTGGTTTATGCATTGTCAAGTGAAATGCATCTCAAAGCTGCAATAAAGGTATTTGGATATGTCAAAGGCACATGCACCTAGAAGCTTAAAATAGAGTTAAGTCTAGCTAATTTAATTCTTCTAATAAAAAGAGCTAATTTTAGGCCAAAATATGACTCGGGTGTAAAGAATGCATCAGAAAAATTCAATCAAGAATTGACAGTTTTAAACAGAAACCTTATCATATTGCAGAGTACATAAACACACTAATCTGGAAGACAAAGTTCGTTACTAGTCTTAAGCCAAGGCCCAACTTTGAGAAAACAAGTATCAGCCTTACAAAACAGAAAAACATACCATCATAGCCTACACATGCAATTAGATAACTGTTACGTAACTTCTCTATTATTACACGTAACTGTCCTACTACATACTATATAACGTCACTATTACATATTAATTATGGCTTGTTATTTTCTTATTTCTCTATATTTTGGGTTTATTTTCTGCACTATCCAGAACATCGCTCATATCTCCACTTTTGGTTGTAACATCTAATGAATGAAAATCTTACGTTATAAAGAGATAAGTACAAAAAGGAAAGAATTATATAAAATATAAAAATAATATAATAGTAAATTCTTTCAAAATAAATTACTAAAGTGTCTATGTAATAGAAAAAAATGGTATAAATTAATGCAAAATAATAGTCTGATGGTAAAAATAAATGTTTCATTTTACTAAATACAATCCATATTTGTGTTTATTTTGTCATAAATTTTGTCCTTTGTTTACATGTTTGCCTCATAAGTTTTTTCCTCATTTGTTTTTCTTTAAGCTTTTCATCAAGATTTGTTCTTTATCATAGGATATTGTGTCACTTGTAAGAATGAATTTAAATTTTTAATAGATGGAATATCAAAGTTCTCTTTAACTAATGACGTTGTTTTACATATATGTTTCAATGTCTTATGGCAGTGAATGTTTTTCGTCAAACAACATTGTTTGTTGTGTATCTTCAAATGCATCTATCATTAAAAGATTTGTGTCTTGTGTTATCAATGTCATTAATCGTTGCACAAATTGTAAATATTTAGGTGTTTTCAGTTTGATATATAGAAAATATTTTATGTTTTACACTTATTTCAATCATACTTCTAAAGATGCCTTTCATCCTGAATTTAAAAGAGTACAATATATACTTGTTGAGATTGAGAACAATAGGAAGATGAATGAGAATAATTATATAAAGTAATTATTGGCTTTATAATCTTGCATGGCCATAATGAGAATTCTAAAATTTGGAGTTGTTGGTTAAGTGGCAAACCTCATGGCCATAAAGGTCACTAAAACCTCCTGCATGTTGTCCGATAAAGAAGATGAATAGCCTATTGGCTTTATAATCTTGACAATATTGCAGGCAGTTTTAGCATCATCCATCTTCATAGGACTATTATTCCCCACACGACCAGCGGTTGCCCCAACAGGAACGCTGATTGGATTCTGAGCATCAACGGGCTTCCCTCCATCTGGGTCTCTTTTGAACCTCTTGACAGAACCAGATTTTCTCCTTTTTGCTCCTCTGCAGCACCCAGTCTGAGTTGGTTCCACGCAATTCAAGCGACCACCATTGGCAGTTGAAACCTTAGGTTGTCGGAAATGTATTGCAAGGTTATCTAACTCAAGGCCAGAGTTTGTTGTTGCCTTAAGTTCACTGAGCTTTGGATCGTAATCATTTTGGTCGTGTTCTGCAAAGGCGTTTGCATTGGTTTGTTGAGGTTGTTGAAGGGTAGTAGGATGAGGTTGGTGAGGAAAGATGGGTGCTTGAGGATGGGGGTTGTGAGTTGGAAAATGTCTAAGGCTGTAAGAAGTGGTAGAACGTTGGGGGTGCTTCTTGATTTGGGCGTGATGAACGACAGGCTTGCGCTTGCGCTTGCGAAGTTTTCCTGATTTGAGACTTGAAAAGAATGAAGAAATGTAAGACATGGGAAACACAGGTATATGCGTAGGGTAGAGGAGGTGACGATGGGAAGGGGGAGTGGGGTAGGAACTACCTGTCCTCAAAAGCATGAAGGAGATCAGGAACGGACTGTAGATTTTCAAGAGGCTCCCAAGTGTTGGCAGTCTCAGGCCATCCACGCCTGCCAAACACAGCAAAGTGCCCCTTCAAAACTTCATTATTCACACCTATCACGTTACCATTTTTATTGAAACAAGTAAAGTAAAAACTCACCATTTGATTAGGTACTGGAGCTGACCCTATTATATCCATTGAATCGCAACCCATTTGCAGCATTCAACGTCACAAGTCAGAAGCAGAACAGAATAGAAATTTATGAAGTAAAATAAATAAAAAGAGTAATTATTATCAGTTGGTTTGGTTACCTTGCGTAGCCTCTTACGGCGTATGGTTTCGATTTCATAGAAGCCATCCTCGAGGTTGGGGTTGGGGTTGGGATTGGGATTGGGATTGGGAGGCGCGAGGGTTTGTTCTCCGTCGTCATTGTAATTGTGATTGTGAAAGTGAACAAGAGCAGCAGATGAAGAAGGTGGTTCATTCGACGAGGCCTGGAGACCTGCAACAGAAGTAGAAGAAGAAGTGGTGTTCATCCTCTTCTTCATTGCAATTTCTATATTTGCTTTACTTTACCACACCAAACAAACCACCTCTTCCCCTCACTCCTGCTACTGCTACTGCTACTGCTTATATTTATATTTCTAATCTCTCCAACCAAAACCAAACTAATAAAGCCATGTTTGTATCACATGGGACCAACATACCAACCCAACACAACACCACCCTCTCTTGTTCATTTCTCTCATCATTTCATATTAATACTAACTCTTTCTATACAAGTAAACTACTCCTACTACATGAATTCTTATTGCCTTGAAACACTTATTAAATTAAATGCAGTTTCAATTGGGTCATCTACTCTAATCTAACATACCCCAACACTCAATGGTCACCTCAACTTATTTATTGCACTATTTATAACTTATTTATCTGTAAATTTTAGATTACTTGGAACTTACATGCTGATTTTCAATCAATTACCTATTTATTTCATTAATTCATAAATTATGGCTAATACTTGACAGTTAGGTATGACTTGTACTCTTATTTGTTTAGAGCTTTAAAAGATATGTTGGTCAGTGCTGAATTCAAAATGTGTTGTGAGTGTATAGCTTCTATGTAGAACATCATTGAATTACACGTTCCAAAAGAACAACTTCAGATTGTTTTCATAATACTCTTTATGTAAAGAGGGAGGGAGGGTTGATGTGGTGCTTGGTCGAGAGGCGGTGGTTGTCGTCCCAGTCTGGCTCCGATTTGGGGGACGAGGAACACTATACGAAAACTCATTCTGAAAATTAGAATTAAATAATTTGGAACAACATTTCAAATTGGGTTCTAAATGAACTATAAAAAAAAGTGCAATATTATGTGCCTCTGCCCATCCGAAATGACCAATTGCTTTTAGTCATTATTTGCGTGCTAACAAGAACATAACACAATGCAAAGACACTCTGCGTATCTGACCCTGTTAGCTGTTAGTAACTAACTGAGAATTTGAAGCTTTCAGAGGGCAAATGATTCCAACCAATCAGTTTGTGGAAATGCTGAGTTTTATAAATTTATTCAACACCAGTAACATAATGCATGAGCACATCAATGATTTGAATCAATAAAATAGAAATGCGTCTCATAATTGATTCTTGCAGTAACTGTTTCATAACAAATAGCACTCCTCTCTGTACTGGTTTGTTGCTTATTTCCACCATTTCCTAAAATAGCTTTTTAAAAAAATAATTGCTTTTTAAAATAATCCTTGGCTATGGCGATTCATTATCTTCCAGTAGATAATTTCCCTAAAACAAATTTTGCACTTCGCATACATAAAAAATGGTGAACTCTGCATCATGAGTTAATCCATTTCCTAGTATGCTAAAAATAACGTTTTGTCTTTTCTATCGGAGAATGGGAAAAAAATGGAGGAACCTCACAAGTATCAAATATGCTAACTCATACAGCAGTTTAATATCAATATTTGGTAGGGTTATGTAACCAAATACTGCTGGAAATGTTTGGTTCTCTTCTTGTTCTTAAGCTTCTTAAAAGCACTTGACTCAATTTGCCTAATTCTCTCCCTACTCACACCCAACATCTCCCCTATCTCTTGCAGAGTCATCGTCCTTCCATCATCCAAACCAAATCTCCATCTTACCACCTGCCTCTCTCTTGAACTAAGACTGTCCAGTGCCTCTTGCAGGTCCTTCTTCATGAATTGCTTAAGGAGATGTTCTTCAGCTGTTTCGGCATCAGGATCAGAAATTATTTCCTGGTAAAAAAAAAACACAAATATCACCAAAATGAATATCATATGAAAGAAGAGTTTTTTTTTTTTTTTCTGAAACATAAATTTGAACTAAGATTAGGACAGACTGAAGGTTTAAGATTTTGGTTGATTCCAATCTTCTGCTCCAGAGATCTGGGAGCCTTTGGAGTCAAAAGTACAGCAGTAAGCCTCTTCATAGACAACCCAGTTGCTTCAGCAACTTCTTCATCATCAGGTTGTCTTCCATTTACACTATACAATTGTTTTCTGGCCTCCTTCACTCTGTAAGTCGCCTCCACCATGTGGAACTATCAAACCAAAAATATTACAATGATAAAGGCCCGTGAAACATTAGATCCGTAACCAATATTATTTTACGATCATTCACATATATACTCACAGGCAAGCGAATAGTTCTTGACTGATCAGAAAGTGATTTCCGAACAGCCTGCTTAATCCACCAATGTGCGTAGGTGGAGAATTTAAAACCCTTGGTACCATCAAACTTCTCTGCTCCTTTTACAAGGCCTCGGCATCCTTCCTGTAAACAAATGAGAAACAGTAAAATAGTTCATTACTGGAATAGTAATAGTTGCCATGTAAACCATCATCACTAATTATTTAAGCAAAAAGTAAACAGTTGAGAATGTACCTGGACAAGATCTTGTAGATTCATCCCAGATCCCTTATAATTCTTTGCAATTGATATGACAAGTCTTATATTACTTTTAATCATTTTGTCTTTGCAATATCTACCATAATCTAAACGTTTCCTAAGTGTTTTCTGATCTACCCCTGCCACAGCAGCCCATTGACCAAATGTGGGCTGACCACCACATCTTTCTGCAAGATCCCCCTGGAGTTTTTCAAGCTTTAGAAGGTCCTGGATTATATTGGCAGAAGAATAGGAAAATGAATTATTAGACATAAAAGCCAAATAGTAAAGTTATACGTATTAATCAGAAAGAAACTATGTTGGCATATATTGACAACAAGTACTAAAATCACCTAAAATATATAATCTCCTGATTCAATGTGTTTAAATTAATATTTGCTAACTTGTAATTTTCTTTTCCTTTCCAGATGGTTCTGAACTAGAATCTTTTATGATTAATACAATCTGCGCAAACTGAGTTGTTATGATTAAATGAACAATTTGCTGAGTTCCTTGTAACACTCTTTTTCTTTCTGAATGCTTCTCAACTATAAGAATGTCCCACCAACCAGTAAGAAGAATTTTGAAGAGCATCCCAACCAAAAAACAATAGCTCCCTACTTTAAAAAATAAAATAAAGGTAGGGGAACAATGTACAGTCCTATCCATTTTATGCATATAGTAGGATAAAATAGGAAGAGGAATTGAAGCAGCCAAGTCATAGAAAATAATTAAATGGTATCTTTTGAAGCAACAGACTAAGTGACGTTGTAAGTAGTGCTGGACATGACAAGCCAGAAAAATGAGGCTTGTGTCATTTGAAGAATGACAAATATTGATTGACAAAATCATAAGATCAGCGTGCACTTTGTGAAAGATTTCATTCAGATTATTAGCTGATTCAGGAGCATATCAACAATAAAGGGCATCAAGAGCATGGATGACTCTACACCAGGTGGCCCTAAAATACTAATAACACACCACTAACATGCATATCCCACCTGTATTCCTTCTGACAACTTGATTTCTTCAGTTGAGGTAAGAAGCCTAGCAGCACTGGTTGTTGTTCTTAAGTAACGAAGTGGATCTGAATAATCTACTTCTTGCATAGAAGCACGCTTTCTCCTGCTGGAGGAGCCAGTCTTAAAAGATGCAACATTCGTGGTAGCCTTCTCTGCTGCTCTGACTCTTTTAGCTTTTCTTTCTGTTTGGCGCCTAGATCTTACAGCTATGCTATCGGAAAGCTGTTCCTGCAGACGTTCAAGTTCCTCATGGGAAGGTTCTACATCAGATTCCTCTTCGCTGGGGCTTACATCAACACCTTCTATCATTTCTGCTCCAGCACCAATGGATTCCCCTGCTACACCATCTTGCGCTTCCATATGTTGAAACCATTTGAGAAATAAATCATCAGATTTCGAAGAAACATGGGATTTATACTCTGCTTCTGCTGGGGGCTTCTTTTTTACTAGTAAAGCTGCATCCTTTGCAACCTTCACAGCAGCTTTAGCAAGAGCAAGAGCTTCAGATGCAGCAGCAGCTATTACAGCCTCTTCATTAGTAAGAAGTGATTCCGTTGATAAGGTTGATTTAAAGTTTTCCTGGTTAAAGGCATAAATATATTTAGTTCCTAGGTAAGCTTGACATGTCTAAATTTTTTTGCACAGACAAACAACTATAGAAATAACCCAAAAGTAAAATAGTATGGCTATTCCATTGAAATAGTCATACTATTTGTTAAGCGAAATATCCAAACGGAAATCTATAATACTTCCTACTTGGGACTTGGTTGATAAGGAAAACAGAATGAATATGGCGTGTAAGAGAGATTTCAACATTGAGAAATCAAGGAAATAGTGGAACTATATCGTTTTGGAAGGAAGAATGTTTGGGAAGAGGGAATGAAGTTGTCCTATTCCAAAATTAGAGAACCAATGAAAAAGCCAACCAGCCCCAAGACCTTTTTTGTCATGGACAAGGCAATTGAATCTTACCTACTCATGGCCATGTCCAGAAATTCTTGAGCGTTGGACAAAATGTATGTTTGAGGCATAATCTAATGTAACTCATCAATCATATTTTATTTTTCTAGCTTTTGCTAAGCAACAAAATTATAGACCAAAGATTTACAATAGAAGAATTTGGATATTTCCCTTAATAAATAGTATGGCTATTCCATTGCACTCATCTTACAATTAGTTGACCTCAAATACAATTTAAGCAATTATAATTTTGAACAACTTTATTTTGTTATCACTTCTAAAATACTTTCCATTCTAAAAGTAGAAGTTATATATTGATACAGTATGTATACAAAACAACTTTTATGGCAAAAGATGAGGATAAAACAAAAATCGCAAAAGGCAAAAGAAGTACATGATGTGGCTAATGTTGCATACATTGACAGACAATCAGAGAAATTATATTTCTTACAAAGAAAACGAATAGAAAGTGTTTTAGAATTAATGACACTACTATTTTTACCCTAAACCTGCAACCCAATAAACCAGTCCACATTCGAGGAAACACAGAATAGCCCCCCAATTAGCAAAATTAAGGCATCTCAACAAGAACAATATTAAAATAATCTTTAGTTGAATGTCTGATTAGATCACTAACATTTTAATCAAAATGTCTTGTTTTTTATGGATCATACATTGTTTACAAAATTTAAGCTCCATATCCATTTCAATAGCCATATTTTTGTGGAGTCCTAAATAGATGCAAAATCAGTTTCCCCATAACTTAAGTGATACAACCTTTTAAACGATATACAGCAACAGCTACATTGCATAATATTACCCCCGGAATTACCAACAAACACTATATCATATCGCAATAAAATTGATTGCCTGACAATATAAGTTAGCAATAAAGAAATTTTTTATAATATATGTATGAGCCTTATGTGATTTAGGTTCTTTGGGGACTCCCTCTGTTGCCTTAAAACAATGAACCTTCAGTGGAAGTAAAATATCAATTATAGTGATGAAATGATGATAAATGTTAAATTCTAAACCTGATGCAACCCTAAAGAAGAGAAGTTGAGCACGCTGTGGTAACCTGCACTTGAACATTGTTATTACCAACCATGCATAAAGGTAACTTGGAAGGTAAGATTACATGATTCCCAATCCGGAGATACAAAGTAGAAAGTCTAGGTAAAATTGATTAGGTATTGTGTTTGAATATGAAAAGATGGTTGTAGAAGTGTGACCTGCGTGGGAGGGGCAACAGCTGTGACATAGGGCCAAGACGTGTTGGGATCGGGAGGAGCATCTAATACCAACTTCTTTTCCAAATTAAGCAGCGTTGAAGAAGATGTGGCAGACAAGAGACATTGCGGCTGGAAACAGAAATTTGATTTTGTTCTTGCTGCAAAAAGAGGGGGAGAAAACAGAAGTTAGAGAGAATAGAATGAATTGGGAATGGGATAGAGAAAAGAAAAAAGGGGTTACACAGATGGGTAGGAAGAGCATAGGGATGAGTCCTGAAAGTGTCGAAGTGGCAATTGAAGTGCGGCAACAAACAAGACATTCTAGTGGTTGTAGCGAAGGATAATGTTGTGAAGGAGAATGAGATTGAGTTTGTGAGCGAAGGGTGTCATGTCACAGGAACATAGGAGGAGGAGTGTTGAAGAGGTAGAAAGAGATGAGAGTTGTGTTGTGTTAACGAGTGTTTGTCACAGAACAGAACAGAAGTTGAGGATAAGGGGTTGAGCCTCGGCGCAGCTCAGCTGAACCGTGATGACACAAATCTTTCTCTTCCTTCAATTTCTTTTTCTTAAATTACTTTCATCATAATAATAATAATAATTTGAATTCACTCACATGGTTATGATGTTGAAATATAATTTTTTACGTTCTAGAAACTTATAAATAAATATTTTAATTCATGTTTGCTAATAAATTTTATTGAAAATAATATTTTAAAAATAATTAAGTTATAAAATCAAATACGATTATATTATTCTTCATTCAGTAATAACGATGGGTTGAGTTTAATCAAACAAATCACTTCATTCAACAAAAGAATAATTGTATAGGATAAAACTGAGTTTTTTATTCAAGATAATCTAAATTGTTTTGGGGGGTTTATTGAACTCAATAATAGATTTAAAAAATGTATTGTTATAAACAAAATTAATTTGAAATTTTTTTTTTACTCAAAATATAATATGATAATTTGTTTATCTTAGTATCTATTATACTTTGTTAACATGGTGTGTTTAAAGACAACATGACATAACAGGATGTTACACTTCCCTTTTACTTTCATATTAACTAGTCTATGTTATAATCCACGTAATCATCTTTTTTTTTTTTTACTCGTTATTATTCCTTTTACCACCTTTATTAATATTATTGTTCACATCATTCACAAATACATTATCTCATTCACATGTTAATAATCAGCAGAGCGATTACAATCACTTATTTCCACCGTTTCTTTGCATAATATTTCCATTCTATGGACATTGTTGATGATCACAAATACATCCTACATTTGCATATCACAATTAAGTGTAATTAAATATATATATATATATATATATATATATATATATATATATATATATATAAAAGATAATGTTGAGCATAGTAACGTATTAATCAGTAATTAAAAATATTTATGATTAAAACAACTGAAAAATATGCATGAAAATAAGTATATATTTAATGGTACTAATTACATGACATATAATATGATACCTAAAAGTATATATATATATATATATATATATATATATATAGTCTTAGTCTTAGTTTAGGCCTTAAAACTCTAAGATATGACTATTTTTTTTATCGTGATGGCCCATGTCTTAATTTTCACCATTAATTATTTAAATTATTGATAAGAATATTTGAAAGTAAACATGAACAGTTCACAACACTCAATATCATTGTATTTAGCTCTCAATAAAAATAAATAAAGAATCGCTTCACTACTTTACGAGAAAAAAATATCCAAACCCTAAGTTTGCAACAAACATTTAAAAGGAAACTTATTCAACCAAGCAAGCAAGAAAACAAAAAGTTAAAATTTAAATTATAGAAAAAAATATGAGATGGAGAAATACACTAACTCCACATGGAATGTGAATGATAAGTTTCATTCAAGTTTTACCACTTGAAAAGACTTGACTAAATAGACACTTAAATTTCAGTAAAAAAATTATTTCTATAAAACCACAAGGTTTTTGCTTCTTATGTTTTTGGGATACAATTAAAAGTGTTTGGACAGTAGAATTCCAAGACTTGATTGAAATATCTATAATAAGAATCACAAGATTTTATGTGTCCAAAACAAAAGATTTTGTGTCCAAAACAAAAACAGAAGAATATATAAGTTTAATTCTTATAAAGGTTGGTTATAACTTTTAATTAGTAAAAATAATTAATGAAATATTAATTACTTTATTATTTATATTAATTAATGAAGCATTAATAATTATAAATTATAACTGGTTAAGATCATTGATGAAATTTTAAGGATTCTAACTTTGAATTCATATAGAGTAACTAATAAACTCTAAATAATATGAAAATTATCTTCTACATTGCATCCTGTGTGTTTCATTGGTTGTTCCTTAAATGTTTATCCCATTAAAACATATTCACCTACTAATTTTCTTTATATCTTTAATTTTTTTGTCCTTTATATTTCAAAGCCAAACTTCTTGCGATTTTACAGTGAGGTCTTCCTCTATTTCAAGGAAATTCATTTTTAATTTGCATTTAACATACTTAAAAAAAAATTAAGTGTTATATTAAAAAAAAAAAACTCTTACAAGTCTTATATCATATCACTTAAAAAAAGAAATTATATATAATATTTTCTTTCAATCCAATTATATGTTTTTTAAAGGATAAAATTAAAATAAATTAAATATCTAAAATAGATAATATCTCGTGGTAATTAATCCTAATAATACTCGTCTATAGATACAACATAAATTATAAAAATATATATTCCTTAATTGATCAATATCTAAAACATAAATTACAAAAATAAATATAGAACAAAATATAATACATGAAAGAAAAAACTGAAATGAAAGAAAAGAAAAAATAAAATTGAAAGGAAAACACGTATAACAACTATCTATCTACCTACTTATGAAAATAATTAAGATACAAATAAATTGGTTTGAAAGATAGAAAGAAAGTTCATTTTTAAATTTTACTTTGGATGAAAATTCACTTGAAAATATATTTGAATCAAAACTTCAAATACTAAAAGAAATAAATAACTCCAAGTTTGCAATAAATAATTCAATAAAAATACATTCACGATATATTGGAACCCATAAAAAAAAATACGAAACTCCTATAAGTTTAAACAAGAATACTTACATGCTATTTTAAAAAAATTCTCAAAAAAAGTAAGATGACAAAATATACTATGCTCTGAATAGTGATTAAAAAACTCAAAAAATAAGTTAAGTTAGACAATAAAAATTATGATTAAAGTAGAATCAGACAAATTTTCACCCATTTTATTTAGGTCAAGCTAACTCTGTAGATTCATCAACTTACTCGTTTTATAAAATAATTATTATTTTATCAATAAAATAAAAGTAATATTATTTTATTAAAAAATATAAATATAAAAAATTAATTTGATAATATGTTTTGTTATATATATATATATATATATATATATATATAATTTAGAAATAATAATAAACTCTAAACATAATTTTTATATGTTTTAGTCATTTTCTTCTTCTCTATTATTCATTGTTACATTTGATTTTAGGGATCAATAATTTAATATAATATGTGTCTTAAATATAATATATTTATAAAGTACTTGGGAAGTTATGTTAGATAATAATGTTAGCTTGTTGAAGTAATGAAAATTTGACTTTAAAATTTAGTTAAATGCACTTACTAAATATGTTATTAAACATGATCTTCACTTTATTTATATTGAGTACGAGGACTTTGGGAAGTAAATAAAATTTTAAATCTTGATTTTAAATTAAATACCAAAAATACTTCAATTATACATTTTTATAATGTAGCATCCGGTAAGATATTTTAAAACAATCAACACTTAAATTACATAAGTTTATAACGTGTATTTAATTAAAAAGAAAAAACTAAAAAATGTATTATCAGAATATTTTTGGTAGGATATATTTAATTTATAATATATGGATAATTATAACTTTTTAAGATTATTTGACTATAACAACTCATTTTTACGATTTTATATATTTGATTTTATTTTGCCTATAAGTTAATTTTAAATAAATAAAAAGATGACATTTTTTTCCAAACAAAATTAAAAAAAGTTTATATAATTACTTTTAATTAAGCCAAAAATGGTCCGTTAGTCTGTTGACCTAACATAGGGTCAGACTAGACAAATTTTTTTGGCCCGTTTTTAAGTATAGGTCAAACCATTAGATTTCTTTTACTTGGCCGGTAGATCGCCCATTTTGATAGTCCTACCCATCGGTCAATTTGGCCCTGTCTAACACGTCAATTTGGCGCGCTAGGGTATATGGTTTGTTTTAACTATGATGTGTCGACCCATTCCACCTTATTTTTGACAGGTCAAAGACAAGGTTGCCCAAAACGAACGATTAACCCATTTTATCATCTTTTTCTAAGAATATGATTTTTTTTTTATCATATAAATTCATTAAAATTTAAATTAGAAAATCTTAATTATATATTCTTAAAAAGAATATCACAAGTCACAGCATTTTTGCATAGTTTTAAAATTTTTTTAAATCTTTGTAGGTCATTTCTTAAAATCACAATCAAATACATTCATGTAAATGTAAACTTGAAATAAACAAGATGTATAAATATCCAAAAAAAAATGAATAATCTAGATACTTCAATCTATCTTGGAGTCACATAATTTACGCTTGGAGATGATGATGTGCATATAAACAAATTATCTTCTACTATTCTTCATAATGTTTTGATGATTTGAATTTATGAAAGTCATAACATGAAGGATTAGCATAACCGTTTTCTTAATACAAAAATTGGGAGGAGTGGCTCCAGAGTTTAAATTGAATTGAGGAAATTGGTGGAGGTAGATGGGAGGTAATCTAAAGTCACATAAAAGTTCTGCTGGTTGTTTAAATCAAATATAGAAATAGAATTGAAGGGAGAGAAAGGGTGTTTTGTGAGGATTGCAATAGCAGAGTGTGTTTTTGGAACAAGATCGATTCGTAATCGATCAAAAAACTGAAATTGAGGGGTTACTGGCTGGCTTTTGGGCATTTAAGGTTTTGAATGGTGCCCAATAGATGTGAAGGTTAAAACCCTTTCATTCGTGTATTGGGACGCGGCACCGCACGCCACTCTTTGCTTCTCAACACAACTCAACTCAATTCAATTCAATGCTACGCCTTTCTCATTTCTGATCCGATTGGGTGATGCTTCGTTCCTTTTCTCTTCTATTTATATCGCTCTTCTACTTTGTTTAACTGTTTGCCATTTGTTTCCCATCTTTAAAGCAGCAAATTACTGTCTACTTTATTGCTATTTCATAGAGAGGTTTAGGAAGATTTAATTTCGTCTTGCTTTCAATTGCCTCTGAGTTTTAGCCTATTGGAGATGCTAAGAGCATTAACTCTGCGTTGAAGCCCTAACCAGTAAACTTGGCTATTGATTTTATTGAATGAATTTATTTGGGAATTCTTGTAGCTTTATGAATTATTTCTTATTCAACAAGAATGTTGAATTTGGAATGATCCATAGGTTTTCTATTGCATCTAGGGGAAACTCATGAAAATCATTTAACTTCCCTTCCTAATTATTCAACAAGTCGCGCTTTCTTCTTTTTGAGAGATTTTGATGGATCCACAAAAACCTGATTCACGATTTGATTCTTATGGATCCCTTTGCAAGATTTGAATAGCAATTAAGTTAGAAATTTATTTAAATCTTGGAGGAAGGTTTTATTGGTTTGTTGTAGTTACTTGTTTATATGGAAACAGGAAGAGCAGTAAGCACTTGTGTAATGCATCACTGTAAGTGATTACAGAACTATAAGATTCTTTCTTTGCATTGTTAACTATCATCTAACCGGGTTTATATGATATGCCATCTTGATGGCCTATTTCAAGCAAGGTGGCAACTTCCTTTTTTCCCTAATCAGGGCAATGGCATATTCCTAATGTATTGCTCTTCAATTTTATTTCCAAAATGAATAAAGTTTCAGGAACTAGGCGGTCTCACCCACACATTAGTAGGAGTTAGGTAACTTGATAAACCTAACAACCTGACTAAGATAAGTTCTGAAATCATGTTAGAAAGTGAAATTAGGCTTAACTCAACCTTACCAGATCAGTTTGTGAGATAAGATTTGCACCTACTTATATATTATAATTTGACTATATTTCTAGTAAATGTGGGATCTCTAACATATATGATTTATTTCCAATTCATTACTTTTATAATAAACTAGTGATATTACATATGAATGGTAAGACCAAGGTTATGGTTATGGTTTCCTTATAATCCTTAATATTGTGGGTAATTACAGACAAATGCAATCAATATGGTCTCCTTGCAATCCTTAATATTACAGGAAATTGCAGAAAAAAAGCAGTCAATATGATTGTAATTGCTGTTGCAAAGACCCAAAAGACCTTGACAATTTGGCCAAAACCATAAGCCTACAACTTCAGTAGGGATGTATTTGGTCCTATTTTTGTTGGTTTGGTGCTTGAATTTGATCATTGACATGCGGAGATTGTGTTGGTTCCAAGTTAATTAACCAGACTTAAATGTTTAAGGCATGCACAATTTTTGGGCAATACTCTCCTCTTGTACTTTTGATGTCCATAACTTTAGGTTAGTCATGCTTCTCATCCATGATTTCATTGATTAATCATAAAAGTGTGATAATAAATTTGCAATAAGTCGGTGCTAGATCAACAACAACATGAAATTAATATTTAAAAATAAGCATTTATATAAGTTGTGCTTGATAGGTAATTCTCTGAATTACAATCCATTTTTGTCTTTCTGAATTCAACCCATATCAATTCAAATCCAGACCAAAAGATTTGATCTCTTGATACCTCATGTTTATTTTCTTGCAAATCTTACTTCCAGATTCTCACTTCATTTCATAGCAGTGATTTTTTCCTTCCAAGATGAGTCAACTTGGAAATCAGTTGCTCTCACGAGTTAATTATTGTTTGGATTGCTATTCTATATTGACTAAATTGGATTTGGATTAATAATAATACCAAAGATTTATTTGAAATTCAAAGATGTCTAACTGCTTTGTTTCCTTATCATTGTGTCTTGTGCAAATTGAGTCATGAAAATGCTTTTTATTTGTTTTGGCTCTGCTTAGCACTTTCTCTTCTATAGAAGTTATTACGTGTTAATTCTAGAAGTTTTGGAATCAATAAGTAGAGATGCTAGAAGGCTTTGACATTATTCTCAATTTGGGACTGTTTGGTGAATGTGGTTAGCAGAAATGATTAACTTTTTTTGGTCAAGTGATGCCTCTTGAGTTCATTTGGAGTTCGCTTAACTTCTTGTGGTATTTTGATGAAGGTCTTTTCTTTGGTAGATCTAAAGGGAGAGATTGTTGTGTGGAGCTACATATACCATGTTCTTTGTTTTTTTCTTTAAGTTTAGTTTTTGAGGTTTCGTATCCTGTTGCATTTGTATCTTTCCCTTCTTTCGTAATAAGCCCTCTGTTTATATAAAGAAATGGAGGAGTTATGAATAATGAATTATTTCGGGCTTAGTGTGTATGCCATGAGGTTAATCTATTAGAAAACTTAAATTGGGTTTTGACTAGGCCTTGGGTATTATAAGGTGTTTAAATCCTGCAACGAGTTATGTGGCTGCTTGGTGGAGCATTTAATGCTTAATTTTTCCCCTTTTGACCACTAACTTTTAAGGGAAGGTTTTCTGAGTGTTTGGGTGCTTGTCAACCGTACCAAAGCTAGTTGTTAGTGTCTTGAAAAGGCTGAGTGAATATTGTAGAGTGTTCGCCAATGTAAATTTGCTCTCTCGTGCTATCTGTAACTTGGGGTCTTATGGGTGCCTAAGTCACAAATTAGGTAATATCGGATGTTGATAGGATATTTAAGTCTAGGGTTTTCAATTACTAGGGTATTGACTTGGTTTTTGATGGTTTAGAAAATTTAACATCTATAATTGGGTTTGTCTTAAAGCGATTCATTGCAATGTTTTTACTATGTTGTGTTGACATGTATTTTTCAGGTCTATGACGAAGGCACTGAGTTAGTTTGTAGGATGCTCTTGACCTTCATCCTGAATTTTGAACCTTTCAAATTTACAGTTCTTAAAAACATGATTCATCAATGTTGTTTTACAGCCAAAGTCAATGGTCTCTGTAAGATAAGAGTTCTGTTTTTGCCTATACTTGTTTCTTATCTTCTTTTCCTACTTCTGTTTGTGATTTTGAAATCAGGTGGCCATTAGTGTGTTGACTGGATGAGATTTATGGACATGCTTCCAACAACTCAATATTCTTTAATTCAAAACATGGAAACTCGATTGTCTTGACTCTTTGTGTCTGGGGCTCTGTAGCACTATACAACATTTTTTCTGAATTTCCTTCAGGTGATAATGTTAATACAAACTTCTCTTCTTAGTTCAGTTGAAGCTGGTCTATGTTATGTGTCTGATGATGGGAAAGATGTTCTATGTGACCGGATGCCTAGTGGTGAAACTTGGCAGGTGTGTCTGAAATGCAATAGGTACCCTCTTGACTGGTGTAGAAAAGCTGAACCAGTGGAGGAAGATAGCAGGAATGCTGATGATCCTTACAGCTCAAAATTTGGTCGGACATCAACTGCTAGTATAATGACGGAAAATACTACACCTAAACCTAAGATGGTATACAGGAGAAAGAAGCTTCGAAAGGACTCAAATTTCAAGCTAGAGCCAAATATGCAGGCAAGTGCAAACTACCCTTCAGTTATAAGCTCCGCTGCACATTTATCATCAGAGGAACAGCCAGCTGGTTTTCAGGTAAATCATGAAATTGAAGTGGTTAAAGATCCTACCATGCCCTCAGTCTTGTTTGATGGAGTAGCCAAAGATAGAACTCATAAAAACTTAGGTATTAGCAGCGTAAATGATAGTTGCTCCTCTTCAAAGCCAGATATGGAAACTGAAATGGATGAAAATGGTGAATGCTCCTCCTCCAGTGTAATAGTCATGGATTCCACTAAGGAAGAAGTGACGGAAAAGGATTTCTGCATTAATATTTTAAGAAGCCATGGACTTCTTAGAGAATATGCTCCTGAAGATAATGTGGCTTCTGGGGAAGATGCCGTCATCACTGGTAATAGCTGCTGTTCCAGGTCATGCAAAATATGTGATCATTTAGACAGTTCACTGAACATGCTTTTATGTGATCATTGTGAAGATGCATATCATCCATCATGCTACAATCCACGTTCGAAAAAACTACCAATTGATGAGTGGTTTTGTCATTCATGTCTTAAAAAAAGGCAGAAAATTCTCAAGGAACCAAATATTCACAATGAGTTGGGCAAATGTAGAGCTACCTCAGTTAAGGCTGAATCAAATTCCATACTATTGATGTTGAGAAACACTGGGCCATATACAACTAGTGTACGGGTTGGTAAAGGTTTTCAAGCAGAAGTTCCTGACTGGTCAGGTCCGATAGAAAGGTAAGTTCTGTTTTAATCACAAATGTTTGGACCCAAATTTTCTATGGCATCTTGTAGTGGGTTTTTTACATTGCTTTAAATATAAGCTTTTACTACATTTATTTTGTGTGGAAAACTATTCTTTGAGGGTGTAGTAGGGAGCTGCAGCACTTTGTTTATAGTATCCATTCATTTATTTTTTTCTAATTATTGGTGAGATTCTTTGCCACACGACTTCTTCTCTGAGAGGCTTTATTAAGCTTTACTTGGTTCAAGATACATATGTTGAAGGGAGGGTTCCTGCATAAAATATTCAACAAACTTGGCCTTTAGACATTTTCTTTCACCATAGCCTTTCCTTTTGCTACACTTGTTAAACCTTGTTCTTTACCTATTTCTGGAAGTTCATTGGCAAGGAACAGAGGAACTTAAGCTTTTACTTTTTTTTAAGAAAATCCTTTGATATTAATAAAACACATCTAACATAAAAACAGTTGATGAGATTACTCTCTTGATTGGTTGATGGGTTTTATTTTCTTAGGTGAGGTGAGGTTTTCTTATTATGCATATGTAGTGTCTATCCATAAGCATTGTTCAGTTTGCGTATATTTTAGCCATATTTCAGTATTAAATAGATTTCACAATCATCTTGTTGTTTCTTGCAGTGATGAAGATGCCCTTCCTGAACCATTGGAAATTAATCCTTCAGACTTCAATAGACTGCTGGTAAAGGTTTTCCCGTTTACTTTATTATATTCATTTTAATTTGCATCCAAGAGTGATGGAAATGCTTTTCTATTCTGCAGGAAGAGAATACGAGAAGTCTTTCTAAGCTCAGTGCCATTGGTAATTGGATTCAATGTCAGGCAGTTATAGATAGATCCAATGGAACTATATGTGGAAAATGGCGCCGGTAAGTGACGTGGCATTGTCGTTTTTAATATTTTGAGTTTTGAAACAAGAAAATATAACTGTAGGATGGTGCAATTGAAACTTAATGCAAGATTGTTTCTTTGGGGTTATAAGCTATTATTTTGAAGGATAGTTTTTTTTGTTAAGATGACTTTAAACCAATGATGAAGTTCAATGTGTGAGAGAGAAAAAATAACTAAAATGTAATTGTATTATTATTATGATTATGTTATACACTACAAGATAGAAAACTGCCTATAAATAGACGAACCCAACTAACTGTGGGCCAGGAAATAGAATGGGCCGCACAAATTAGAACCTATGCAAGGGAAAACTAACATCCTGTGCATTTATCTCTAATAATACCCCTCACAAACTCAAGCGGAGGAAGTAGAGGAGTCTCCCACACTGAGTTTGGTTCTCAACACATTAAACTGAGTAGGAGATAGAGCTTTCATTAAAACATCCACACCCTGGTCAGTGGAAGGTATGTCTAGAACCTCAATTTGTTTGCCCAAGGTCTTCTCTCAAACAAATTGCTTTGTGTGAGCATCGAGAACATGAATGTGGGCAAGAGCCACTATGGTCAATTTATTACAATAAATACAACGGATGTAGTGATGAACCCCAAGTTCAAGAAGAGGAGTTATATCCATTTATTTTCAGTAGTGGGAAGGGCTAAACTATGATACTCAACCTCTGTATTGGAATGAGCAATCATTTTTACTTCTTGAATCACCAAGTGATGAAGTTGGGGAACAAGAAAAACATAGCACTTAAAGTGGAACATATATCATCAAGATTATATGTCCAATATGTGTCACAAGAAACAATAATAGGGAGAAGGCTAATGGAAGTTGATGGGAGAAGATGAAGATTACTTGAGGTAATGAAGGATTCATATAACAATTCTCTGGTTAGCTTTTAAGGGTTGGGACAAATTAATATTATTAACCAAATAATTGATTCTAGAGCATGTTATAGTTATACCAAACCTATCATAGTGATTGTTGTTGGGCTTATTGTGCCTCCAATATCTGGTCATTATTGAACCACTCGGAGATGTCAAATTCTACAAGTTTCACGCTCAAGATATTTATTTAGTCCTTGATGTGAAGAATTTGTGTTGGAGATGTCATATCGGCTATTGATATTATATAACCAAATTACTTAGTATTATATATAAGTGGGGGGGCAACTCTTGCTTTACAAGTTGGTTTTTATGATTAAGTTAGATCTAAACCCAAATTCTAAGAGGATGCATAAAAAAATATAGGCTAAGCCCTTTTTCTTTGCAAGTTTGTAGCTACCATAGGGGAAGAAATGAGTTTGGCCTTTGCCATATTGGTTTTTGCCAAAATGTCTCTAATGTATTTGCATTGAGTGGGATCAAGGGACCCATGGAGTTGGGGCTTTACTTTAATTCCAAGAAAATAGTTTAAAACACCAAGCTCTTTCAGGGAATCACCCATCTTATCTTGTCATGACTTGACCTGATCCAATTTGACTTGGTATGACACAGGACCTGACCTTACCCAACCTGGCCAAACTAGCCTAGCACGACCCCCGACATGAGCTAACTTGACCCAACCCAATTGGGCATGACATGACCTAACTGACCCAACCTGACCAGACCAACTAGATCTAGCCTTGATTTTAGATTTTTAAAATCCAAAATATAATCCAATCCATATCCATTTAATTGAATTGGATTTAAAATCTAAAGGATTGGATTTAAAATCCAACAATATGAATTTGGATTTGAGATGAATCTATAAAAATAGACTTAAAGTGTTTAAATTTGGATAATTATAGATTGAATTTGAATATTTGAATTTGTTGCCCACCCTTACCTTGCTCTATCACACTATTTCTATTTATTTCACATACTGAAGAGAGAAACTAGTAGAGTGTGAGAAATGAATAGTGTGTGAGAGAGTCTCTTGTTGGTTGTGCTAAATTTCCGTTAATAAGCCAGTATTTTTGTTTGCAGGGCACCTTTTTTTGAAGTTCAAACTGATGTCTGGGAGTGCTTTTGTGCTATCCACTGGGATCCATCTCATGCTGATTGTGCTGTACCTCAGGTGAAATATATTTGACCCTTCAGCTTTCGCCTTTATGTTGATTTTGTCATGAAGGTATTAGTACTTTTTAATGCTGAATTGGAAGACTCAATTTTTTTTTTTTTGGTTTTCTACGTATTTTGCTTAACAAAGCTTGAACATAAAATATTATGTCGGAATATTTCATTTTAATTCTCTTATCTCACCTCAGTAATTTCATTTTAATTCTCTTATCTCACCTCACTAATTTCATTTATATTGATTTATGATTAGAGAATTCTTTTTAGCTTTGGTTGAATATGGCCAGATCTATAGTCTCTTGCACAGACAATATTGTTGTAATCGCTAGAGTGCATGAATATAACATAGATACAAGTATTCAGACGAATCAGTACACGGAACACAACATCATATGTGGCAAACATGACACAACATATCACAAATAATTATTAATGAGGGTTAAATTTTATATAAAACATAATATTGAGATGTTAAGAGTGAAACAGCTAGCATTTGTCATACATGTTCAAATATATAAAAATGTATTTAAAATATTTGATACTGAAATTCAATTTAAAATGTAGGAGAGGTATAGTGAATAGTATTTTGTACCTTGCATGTATTCAATATGAATGTGGATATGGATAACGTCTTAGCTCATTGTATGATTATCAATTGGAGCAATCCTAATATCTAGAAGCGGTCTTATTTAGCACATCACCACCAACCATCCTAGATGCTCTATCCATGTTGTCTAAAGCTATGATGTACTGTTGTTGTTGTTATTATTATTATTATTTGTTAAGTGAGTAATTACCTGTAGTGCACACAGTATGTAGTAATAATTCAAAGTCATCACAAAAATATTAACGTACTTATCTACAAGTACAAACTTTGTGTTTCTGAGAAACATTGCTTGTCTTCAATTATGCAAACTAATCACTATGCAATTTGCATTGGACTTTAGCCAACCCAACCACGTGGCCTTGGTCGTTGCATGTTGTTTTTCTGCTTCCAAGTAGTTTCGTGTTTTTCAACAATGTCTTGTTAACTCCTGTATTTTGATCACTGCATATATTATCATCGTTCATTTAATCCTATCCGTTCCCCCTCTTTGTTTGCTGGGCAGGAGCTTGAAACAGATCAAGTTTTGAAGCAACTGAAGTATGTGGAAGTGGTAAGCGAACTGCATAACTTTTATCATTGTATTTATGTCAAAGAAATATTTTTTGATTGATTGGCGGTTTGCGTTTCTTGTTTTTTTTTTAGTACATTGTTTATGTTTCTGTTTGGGAGCTAATTAGGGTTAATAATTTAACGAAGCTTGAATTGGTTTGATTAGTAAGGGAGAAGGAGAGGCAAAGGCTCTTAAAATGCATATTAGTTAAAATATTTATAGATATTTAATAGACTATTTTGTTGGCCAGTCCTTCCTCTTATCGCCCTCGTGGCAGTCTTATCTCTCGTCATTACATGCAAGTCACTGTTTACATTCTGAAACCGAAGGGGTTTTGCATTGTAATTTCCCCTCTCCCATGCTATATTGCATTCACTTACGAAATTTGACCTGCTTACATGCGCATACAGCTTCGGCCGCGAGTTGCTGCTAAACGGAAAAAATCAGATTGCACACAAAACAATGATTGAAGTCCGGGTGAAAGAGGTGGATATTTTGTTCTTGTACATGCTATGCTTTGCTATGCTACTATTTCCTCATACAACCCAATTTTAGGTGTTCCATGCTCATGCCTTCCTTTGCTATCCTGTTTTTAAGGCATGACACGATGATAGTTTCTTTGTAACTTGTAATATTTTTTCTTATGTGTATTGCGGGTAGCGGAAACAGTTCAACGGACCATCATAACTTGGGTGTAATTTCGCCCATCTGAGGACTCCATATCCGAGTGATGCTCAGCTTGATTTTTCATGCCATCTTGGTTTATTTAACTTGTCTTTTCTCAAGTAAGAATTTGGATTTATGTACTCCATCCGAATTTAAATATGAAAAAATGTCCTATTTTGATGCTTAATTAAACCCCGTTTCACACAGTAGGAATATGCAATTTACTTTAAAACAGCTCAATTCTCCTTCATATTGTAAGTAGTACTATATGCTCAGTGAAACAGCTCTAAAAATTAGCATTTTGGATCGTGTAGTCTTTTATAAAACCCGCATCACATTAAGCAAAAACACCGAAAGGCAAACATCACCCAAATTTTTGTTGAGTTTATTAAAGATCTAATACACTTAAAATTTTAGGACTAAAAAATCCTACCACACTCTGGTGCCATAAACTTTCTCGTTATGCAAAGGTACTAAAAAATTATTAAATACAACTTTAAGTATATAAAAAGATTGTTTCGAATTCGAATTCGTAACCCACCTGTTAACAAATCACAACTTTATTGCTGCATCCTCACTTCAGATATAATCACCATAACCTATGGGAGGTCCCCTGAAGGGGCACTTCCTTAATCAATTAAAATTGAAGAACTCTCCGAACATTTATCTTAATATACAAGATGAATTAGAACCAGATAGTTTTTGTTTGGCGCTGAGCCTTCACACTGATAAGGCTTGCATGCTACTTAGTACAAGATATGGGGCGAAAGTAGCCAATTTACGCAGCCTGCATACTTAATTCAGTCATCCTAAATAAGCTGCTAGCTTTAATTTAAACTACCAACAGGAAAATCTACAAAGAAGGTTAAAGTAATGCATACATGTGATAAGTGCACCAAACAACTGGTAAACAAAGATCAAAGTTTCGCAAATTACTGTCAATTATCAGTTATAATTATACAAGAAACAAGGATTCGCTTTCAGCAAATTTTACCTTGGGTCCTTTTCCTTCATCAGGTGAATTCACCTTCATGATAATATTTAGACTGATGAAATCTACTCTGCATAAAATTAGAAGGCATCATGCATACTGCGACCATCAACAATGCTTATCATAGACTACGGATATGAGCATTGTTAGATAAAAGGGCACTCGAGGGCATTGTTTTCCATTGCCAGAATACTAAACGTTTATTTTCTTTCGTGTCTTCTGTTGTCTTTTTCACGTTTCCAGTTCCCTAATGCAATTAACAGAAATGAGAACCTGTCTCCAGTGATATGCCAACGTGAAACCAGTACCAGAATTTTGTACATGTTAGAACGAAAAATGAAGATATCAACATGTTGATTTAATGCTAATTATCATTATAAAAGGATATCAGACATGTGAATACGAGTAAGGGGAGGGGAGAAGGAGGGCATAAGCAAGTATTTGAAGTATAATTCAGCATAAATCTATATATGTAGAACTGCCAATCAAGGGTTCAACCTGAATTACAATTGATTATGCTAAAGCAACTGCCATTCCCAAGGATGAGGACCCGTATTTTTTCAGGTACTTTAATGCAATTATTACTCTCGAGTATAGTGTGCATAACTGAATTTGGTCACATAGGCCACACATAAAAATTCAAATCCACATCTGCCGTTAGTCTTAACCGTTTGAATAAGCATGAGGGACTTTCTTAAATCATGAATCAACATCCTCCATGTTGAACTTCTATTGTTATCTTGTAAGGTTCCATAAACCATGCAGTCACATGTATATTTGTTTTAAAAAGAAGATACTATCACAGTTAACTAATTTGAAAGTTTCACGATATCCTACCATGTAGTTGCATAATCAAATTATTTTTTCTCTTTAAATGAGACTGCAGCAAACCATTTTCCCCACTAAAACATATCTATTATAATATAAAATTTTAGCAGCATTGGTTTCCACTTCATCCTGCAAGTATCAGAAAATAATAAGCCTAATTTCTAATCCACCAATGGCCAATTGTGGTTTCACAGACAATTACGAAGCACCTGCAGGTTTGACAAAATGTTCTAATGGACTAAAAAACAAAAGACAATAAAGTTTGTGATAATCCCTTCTATTTGTTGTTTCCCTTAGAGGAAATTTATGTAGTCAAGTTTGATTGAAATTAATGAGACAAGGTATTGGATACACTATTTTCCAGGTAAAAAGTTATTCATAGCTTCAAAAAACACAAATCTGGAAAACTTCACACGCTTTTGCCCTGACAATCTACTAAATGCAGCTTTCAAAACCTGGACAAAATCAATCTTTTTAAATACTTGGGGAAGAAGGCCACTGTATAATATTTGACAACCAGCCTCAATAACAACACCCACCAAAACAAGATTCAATCATGAAATTCTTAGTAAATACTAAATTTCCATTGCCTTTTCATGTTCCTCTCTTCCCTTACCCAACTATCAAATTGCCACTAGAGCCATAGAATTTGAATTTGAGTTTAACTCACCCTCAAAAGCTAGCTCAAGATGTGAGGATTGTCCACCTCTTATATATATGTATATCATAGAAAACAAACTTCAAACCTAACTCAACCTTACAAACTTAGTTTGAAAATGAGCTTTATACCCATTTATATATTTATAATTTGATCAGATTTCCAGTTAATGTAATCCCCAACACACCTTCTCAAGTCGAAGACTGAACATCTCGAGCATGAAACTAAATATTTATGATGAAGGGTGGTACGATATGCCAACAAACCTTGTTAGGATAGGCTAGTGGCCTGATAGCATATGACACAATATGCCCAACAAACCTCATTAGAATAGATTCTAATACCATCTTAGAAAGTAGACCTTAAACCTAACTTAACGTCACAAAACTAGTTTGTAAGATAAGGTTTGCATCCACTTATATAAAATAATTTGGTCAGATCTTTAGTCGATGTGAGATCTTCAATAGTATATTTTAACATTTGTGAATGTTCTAATAATGGGTAACCTAATAAGCCTAGCAAAAATTGATAGGATAAAAACATTGATACCATTATAGAAATTGGATTTGGACTTAACTCCAAAAACTAGCTCAAGAGATGAGGATCCCTCACATTTATATACTATTTTGACCATATGACTTATCCATGATAGACTCCAACATATATAGTAAAACTTGGTCTTGAAGTAGAAACCTTTTGTGATATAGCACATGATAGCTACATACCTCTTCTAACTATGATTTGAATGCATAAGTTGAACAATTCAGCAAAAACAATTGTGAAACACTAAATTAGTACTAAAGGAGACCGAAAAAATAACTAACACATCAATCATCTCTAAAGAAAAAACATCTCAAAAGAAGAACAAAATGCCTAGACAGCAGACAAAATTAAAGCTTGTGGTTATATAATCAAATACCTCAAGAAATCTGATAATTTCAACTGAGAAATCCCTCCACAAACTTTAACAAATGACAACAACCATTTGAGGGTAAAGAGAACTAAATCATGTAACCATTTAGCCTGCAACTTTTACTGCCCCCAATTCATCAAATTTTGTGCTCTTATGCTGCAGTAGAATTAGGAAACAGAAAAAAAACATCACATTTAGAGAGCATCTGGAATAACTAATGAATTACAACTCTATTGTACTGCAATTGGTGCATTGGTCTTTGCAGCCTTAATGCTTTTTGCTGGTTGGTTTCATTATCACAAAGCTGCTCCAAAATTGGCTTGGTTCCAAGATGTAGAATCTATGTTGAAGCACCATTTGACAGGGCTCCTAGGGTTGGGGTCTCTTTCTTGGGCAGGACATCAAATACATGTATCTTTACCAATTAACCAATTTCTAAATGCTGCAGTAGATCCCAAGGAGATACCACTTCCTCATGAATTTATCCTAAATCAAGATATGGAAATAAAATATTAACAACTTATCTGGAGAGAAAGATTCTGCCTTCATTACCTTATTTTTTTGTGTGTTTGTGTGCATTTTTAAGATTGTCATCTCCATGCTTCCTTTTCTGTAATTTTATTGAGTCAAATGGTTTAAAATTAGAAGTACATTTTGAGACATTCTCAACTAGTATGTGAAACAAATCCTTTTTAAAATGTTGACATCAAATGCAAAAGATACTCTTTATTGGGACGTGAGGCACAAGCAATAACAGTTAACATCATAATCAGCACAATACAAATGAAGATTTCATTAGTTGCTGATGAAGCAAAACTATTGAGTTATATCACAACATGACAGGACAAAAAGAACTCTGGATTTTATCATAAACAAAGGAAATGCATCAATTACTAACCTTGTCATGGTGTTTCTTCGAAGGATCAGCACCAAAAGCACTAAAATCATGGTGCCTGCTTTTATCTTTCTTTTTATCCTTTTCTTTGTCTTTGCTTTGATCTTTTTGACGAAGTTTGTGCTTCCTATGCCCCTTGTCCTTATCTTTGTGCTTTCTATGCTTCTTTTCCTCATCTTTAGTTTCACCTTTTGATTTTCCTGCTACAGTCAGAATCCCCTTCTCTGCCTATAAGAAGCAAGTCACAAGTACAAGGAATAAACATATATGCAATAAGTTCTAAAGTGGAATAGATTGTTTAGGATAATCACATCTATTAATTTAGTGGATACAAGTGAAACAACAGAAAAAGTATTATCAAATTCAAAGATGATTTCTTACAGCAGGCAAATCAACGGGAACAGTTTGCTTGAGTTGAAAAGCTTCTTTTAGGATATCAAGGTCCAAAGGCTGTATACAATAATTGGTATCACTGGGCAAAGATGTATTTTGCAGAAGTTGATCCAACTGCATCCCGTCCTCTTTTCTGATTTCTCTGTCGCCTACTATATTGTGTAAATAGTGTGCATCTGAAATTGAAACAGGAAGTTGCCTCTTGCAGAAAAACTCAAAATGTGGGAGTAATTTGAAGTGATTTAATAGATCCATAGCACCTGTTAGTTCTCTTGGTCCTATGATTTCAAATAACATATGCCATCAATCAGAAAGCATTGGAAAAATATTTGTAATAAACATTTTTGCCATACTAGAACCATGGCCTAAACTGTATGATTCTATAAAGTTCTAAAAGTGATCTAACTGATTCCAAATTTGCAAACAAAATCATGAATAACTACAATTGAAATTACAATTTTGACAACCATGCCCATAAGCTATATATATATATATATATATATATATATATATATATATATATATATATATATATATATAAAAGGAGAGATCCATTCACTCCAAGATTAAGAGTTAGAAACTTACTCTTCATCCTCATCATTTATGTTTTGGTAATCTAATGGTGTAAAATAGTAACTCATACTTAAAGTCTCAATCAGCTATTATAGTTGACCTGAAATGTGTATCCATTTGTTCCTGTACAAGTATGTGTAGGTCCATTAGAGATGTTGAAAAATTGATCTTGCATATGTGCTCAAGCATATTTTGTAGATTGGATGATATTTTGGCACGTATCTACTTATATCATGTGTGTATTCAAAATATCATCCAATCTACAAAATATGCTTGAGGACATATGCAATATCAATTTTTCAACATCTACAATGGATCTACACACACTTGTATAGGAACAAATGAATGCACATTTTAGGTCAACTATAACCACCGATTGAGACTTTAACCAACTATTTATATAAGATTAAGTGTACAGTCAATGTCAGGCAGACAGGAAATCAGAAAAAAGCCTATGTTATGACAAAAAAAGAAGATATATGTAATATAATCTATGCAAAGCAAACGGATGACATGATAAATTTTACCTCCTCTAAATTTTTTGCAGTCAAGATCCATGAGTCAATCTTTCATGAGTTGTTGAATCATTATTAACTGCAATTCAAGATAAGAGAAAGATGTTCCTCATGCACCAATGTCAAATGATATTTCAGTTGCACAATATCAATATGAAAGTTGGTTTATCATGATAACAGTGGTCAAATAGTTGCTTTAAATGTAATGGGACTTCCATCTAAGATCAACAACCAGTTTTGGGTGAGTGCACCGACTACCCCTCCTACAAACGAAGGTGAGCTATTTTGCATATGAATTATTTTCAGCATTAAGCTTGTCTGCTGCATCACAAATTTCATATTGTTCTCCCAACTATATTATTTAAGTCTTTTGAAATTAGCTTATTTTTTATTTTCTTCATATAAAGCATTGCAAAAGATAAAATCAACTAACATTTGTTTCTTCATAATAAAGTCTGACCACATTAACCTTTACCATTTATTAAGATTATTAACAATCCTAAAAGTGTCTGTCAAAAAGCCAATAAGCTTAATTTAGACAGCACTTCAGATTGCAGAGCTTACATAACATGGACTTACTGAATATGTACTTTCTTAAGTAGTTTATCCAAATGAGAGAGGCCAGATTGTGTATCAAGACGGAAACAAAAGAGTGAAAGACAAGAAATGCGTGCAAATAAATACCCTATTCATTGTAACGGTATCAGAGTATAGCCATGAAGATACTGAGAAGAAAACCAAAATTACTTGAATAGCACTAACATAGAGAATGATTAAAATGGATAGATACAACATGGGTGACGTAGGTATTTTGGTTTTGCTATGGTGCCAGAAGAAGGATGAATTGAGCAGTTGCAGAAGAGAAGCACGGGAAGTGCCAATTCATTTGTGGCAAAGGACGAAAGCATGTATGTATGCTATATAGAGAGAGATACTTACAGTTAGTCAAATAACTCAACGAGATTTCTTTCTCCTCTTTTGTCTTGTATCGTGTTTGCGCTCAACGTTATGTTTCCGTTTCTTCTTTAACAATTCATTCATTCACTCCCAGCCAAACCCCAATTCCCAATCCAATCCCCTCGCAAATTCTCCATTTTTAATTAGCCCTTCCCTTCTCCCATATCTCTATTTTCTCTCCGTTTCAATTCCATCAAATAAACCACCTCCACCTTTTTTTTTAAATGTGATGTCACTTCCACATTTTATTTAAGTTAAATTAGTTTTTTATTTTTTTTAAATTATTTATTGATTAAAACTTAAATAAAAATTATAAATTAAAATACTGTAAGTTTGAATAAAGTATATAAATAAATTATTGTCAATTTGTGACACATATTTAACTCTTGCAGATAAAAAAAAAACTAAAATCTGTAAAATTGTTTTGACGTGTATTTTTTTATTTCTGTTGAAGGAGAGCTTGTAAGGACGAGGAGATAAGAAATAAAAGAGCATGCAAAAGTATTATCCCATTGCGAGCATGATTATAGATGGTCTCGTCATCGTTGTTTCGTGTACTCAGACTTTAAACCTCTATTCTGTAGTCAAAGTATTTGTAATTTTATTCCGTAAAGTTTCCATAGAATATTATATTACAAATTAAAATGTGGCTAAAGGAAACTATAAAGAAAAAATGAATTGTGATGGGAAAGAAACGGGCCGAGGCCCATGGATCATGGAGAAATTGATAGGGCTTGCTGGGTTGGAATGAAGAAAGATTGAGAAGGAAGGGAAGGGGACGGAAGCAGATGATGTATCTATCCATCCATTCGTGAATATTATCTCATCACATCACATGATCATAATGGTGTTCATAGATTAACATCACCATCAGTATCAGCATCGGAAGAAAAGCAAACCCTAAGTAAGATGCCGAAGAAGATGGGGGTCAACACTAAGGCGGAGGCCGCGAGGGCACGTAAGAGCGCGGCTGAAACGGAGCGCAAGGAGAAGGAGACTCGAGAGAAGGTGGATCAGTACTGGCGAGAGGCCGAGGGTTCCAAGTCACGCGCTGCCAAGAAGAAGGAGGAAGAGGCCGAAAAGAAGGCCGAAGCAACCGCGCGTCGGGCTGAGGCGCGTCGATTGGCGGAGCAGGAGGAGAAGGAGCTGGAGAAGGCGATGAAGAAGGTGGACAAGAAGGCGACCCGGGTATCGATCCCGGTACCGAAGGTGACGGAGGTGGAGCTGAGGCGGCGGCGGGAGGAGGAGCAGGCAGAGGCTGAGAGGAAGGCGGAGGAGGCGAAGAAGCGGCATAGTCGCACTGCGGCTGAGGATGAGTACGAGAGAATGGTGCTTGTGTCCAACACCAATCGCGACGATTCCATCATCGAAGCAAGAACTTTGGATGATGCCATCGCTCAGATGACCGTCGTCGACAATTTGCCCCCCGATCGCCATCCCGAAAGGCGCCTCAAGGCCTCCTTCAAGGTATTAATTCATCATTTCACTCATTCATTCTATTTTTCACTTTTTATCATTTATTTGAATTGGATCCTCTAACCGTACCTTGCAGGCATTCGAAGAAGCTGAACTCCCTAAGCTGAAAGAAGAGAAACCGGGTCTCACTCACAATCAGTACAAGGACTTGATATGGAAGCTTTGGAAGAAATCTCCTGACAATCCTCTTAATCAAGTTGGTCATCTTTTCTTTTATCTTTTAGCGATTAGCTTTGCATCCTCTTTCGCACAATGACTCTGTTTCAAATTACCTGCTTAAACTGTTTTTTGCTTATGGACAGATTGCTGAGTGAATGATCAACTGCAGCTGGATTGTAACTGAATGCAACACCTTCTTCTATTGGCCATTTTCATGTCCATTTCTAGTTTATTATAGTTGTAACGCCTGCTCATCTGCATATCCCCCAAATTCCTAATTAGGCGATAGAAATTCAAGTTATCACAGGCTTCATTTCCTTTATTGTTTTGAACCCGCTTTAAGCAGAGTGAGTTTTTTCTGTACATGCACAGACATTGTTGCCATCAACTTTACGTTGGACTGCTCTGCTGGGTATAAGGGGTTTCTGAACTACATTGTATTTAAATTCAACAAATTAAGGTATATCATGGTGAGTTCCCATATAATTTTCTCCTCAAAATTTGTAATTTGTCAATTGGAAAAAATCGATTAGAGTGTTTAAACAAAGCTTGCAATGAAATGCCAACAAACTGGCAAAACATGGTGATGACTAAAGCATTGGAGGGTTAGGGGTCTGTAGAGTAGGGCTTTGGCCTCACTCCCTCTGTTGACCCTCATAGTCTCCCCATCAATCTCATCTCACCTCCCAAATTCAACATCTCCTATAAGCCCTTGCAGGCATGGGCCCCGCGCTCCAATGTCTTTGTAATCATCCTCTGATACCCTTGACTGCATTAAGATCTCTGTCTTCGTCAATTAGGCTCTGAACCTTAGCATATCCTTGTTGGGGACCGACTGATCTAACAATTTGACGCATCGCCACTATGAGCATGTATGAATTTGTACAAACAGGGCTTACATAAAATTTGTTCATATTTTTTGTGCATCGACTGTATACTTCATACCGAAGAATACATCGACTTCGTTAGTTTCTTATGTATGTCCTTACCGAAGACATTGTAGAAGGCAAAATTTTTACCTCAGATGTAGTCCTTTGAGAGGCACGAAACCTTGACCATCCAAAAAAGAATATCTTAAAATCTGAATAACTTTCTTTAATATCACTGTACCATGCCTTGAAGTCTGCTCCACTCGATAAAACTATTTTGATACCATCGTCATTAGTTTTAAATGAGCGGATATTTGCCCATTTCTTTTTGCTTGAATGTATATTTCACCAAGTGAACTTAATGTTATATGTTGATGACATTACCCTATGCATCTTTAAAAATGTATATTTTTAAATAAATTAATAACATAAAGTAAAGCTTTTTGTTATTAACAAATTATTTATCATACGTCTTTTTTCTCTTATATTTCTTTAATTACACGATATAATTAATTTCACTCAAATAAAAATAAAGTTAGTTAAAATTTAGTCCTCTTACTTATATATCTTTACTTATATGTATTTTTCAACATTTTCAAATATAAACTAATATTATAAAAATAATAAAAAAGTGTCCTTTTTTTTGTTATCTTTATTTTTTTTCTCTTTTATGTTAAAACTCATTCATGTGTATTTGTCTCTAATAATATATAATTTTAAGAATAAATATTTATATTTTACAATTTATTATGAATATTCTATTTAATGAAATAAAATCTTAATATTTCTATTTATATATATTGGTGCTAGTCTAATATTTCTGTTTTAATTTAGTTTGTTATTAAAATTTTGGTCGTTAAATTATTATCGGTCAATATTTTGATTATTAATATTTCTATTCAAATGCTAAATAATTAGTCATCAATATTTCTTTGTTAATATTTAAGTTTTAAATAAATTAGTAATTAAAGTCTCTAAATTATTACTGGTCAATATTTCTCTTGGTAATATATTCTTTTTATGCCAAATAAAATTTTGGTTGTTAAACAATTTTTGATGAACATTATTCTATGTAAATATTTTGTTTTGGACAGAAAAATTTAGTCACCAGAAAATTGGTGACATATTTCTGTCGTTAATATTTTTGTTTTAAACCATTTAGCAATTAAAATTTTGCTTGCTATATTATAAGCAACTAATATTTTCGGTTTTAATATTTATGTTTAAATATATTAATTAAAGATTAAAGAAAGGTTTGATCACTAAATTATTAATACCCAATATTTTCATCATTAATATTTTTGTATTAAATTAATAAATGATTACAACCTTGTCATTAATATTTTTATTTTAAAGTAATTAGTGCCCAAAATTTTAACGGCCAATATTTTTTTTTCTAATATTTTGTTAACTAATTAATCGTCAAAATTTCTGTTGCTAAGTTATTAATATCAATATTTTTGTCATTAATATTTTTATTTTAGACATATTAATAAGTAAAATTTTAGTCATTGACTTATTATGACCAGTATTTTCGTTGTTGATATTTTATTTAAAATTATTAAAAAAACATTTATATTTTAAATTAATTAGTGACTAAAGTTTTACTAAAGTGTTTAGGACCATTATTTTTATTCTTAATATTTTGTTTAAGGAGATTAGATATCAAAAAGTTAGTTGATAATTTATTAGGAACTATGATAATATTTTTTAAAAAGGTTCTCTTCTTGGTTAATTCATACTATTATACTCCTTTGAAAAATTAGTTGACTCTTATATCATTTTTCACATAGATAATTTCTTATAAAAATAATATGAACTTCTTGAGATATACGAGATGCCACCATGACTTAAAAGTCTATTCAACTTCATATTTTTCACAAGAAATGACTCAGGGATCAAAAGTTTTATGATACACAGGATTCTCATAAGAGGCAAGGGAGAGATAATAAGAATTTTATATTTCAGACTTTAAAAAAAAAAGAAAACTTAGAGAGAAGACATTTGTAAGAAAGGAATTTTGTATTATTGATTCTTTCTTGATACATTCTAGACCTTTCTATTTATAAGTACATCATACAAGCGAAATTGAAAACTTTGCTAAACTAAATTAAAATTTGGACTTGAAAATATCATACAAATTGAAATCCAAAAATAAAGTTATGGTCCACACCTATTATGACCTTACAAACAAGATAAGATAACCTATCTTTTTGGATAAAGTAAAGTAGATTCTTTCTTATTTCTTTTAACACGTTTACAGTATAAGTAATGGACATGTGTAAAAATAAGAGAATTTTGCTTTAGTAACTTGTCATGATAATAGTTATTAACTAAAATCTTTACTTTGAATATGATATTATAGAATTGGAACCATTCATTTGTTGTGTTTCACTCCTTGTCATACTTCCGTATAGTGGGTTCCAGTAAGGATACATCATTTTGTGAAACATAATTTCTTCCATTAATTCTTCATTGCAATTATCTATCAAATCTTTAACTTTCTGGAACTCTTCTTCAGGTACATATAGCTCAATTGTTAATTTCAAGAATCTTATCTTTTGGAACTCATCATCTTTTGGAAAGATCCTATTCAAAGGATAAGAACTGAGTGGTATTTAGGATGAGCTGACAAGATTGAGATCCATCGATTTATAATAATAGTTGTTAACTTCACAAAGATGCCTAGCCAGTTGGGTTCCGTAGTTATCATCTAAAGAATATGTTTTAAAGTTTCCTTAAATGTAAGTTTTATTCTTTGACCATAGTTGCCCCGTAGGATTATGAAAATATGGACGGTGGATGATGAAGATTGAAGTGAAAGACTTAAGAGAATTCTTAGTCATTCTCCTTTGTCGCTTAAAATCTACGATCCTTTTCAATTTTTGTCTCCACCAAGATAGAGGTGAGAACCATTCTAGTAGAGTTTAGAAATAAAACTTTTCTTTATAAGGATTTGTCGGAATCTCAAAATATGTTTGTTGAATATAGTGAAAAATTAGGTATAGAGTTAATTCCCTTGTGTCTAAAATACACATAGGGTAATATATTTATAATTAAGAGTTATACAAGTAAATATGATAAATACATATATTGTGACTAATAATATCTATAATATATAACACTCTCCCTCAAGTTGATGTATATAAATCATATGTACCAAGCTTGTTACAAATATAATCAATTCTAGATCCCTGTAAAGATTTGGTGAAAATATATACTAACTGTTCACTTGAGTTAACAAACACGGTCTTAATGTCTCCAGATACAATATTTTCTCGAATAAAATGACAGTCAACTTCAATGTGTTTGGTCATTTCATAAAAGACAAGATTAAAACTAATATGAAGAGCAACCTGATTGTCACATATAAGTGTCATTTGAGTGATATCTCTAATTACAATTCTCTAAGTAATTATTTAAGCCAAACAAGTTCACAAGTGATTGAGGTCATAACTTCTGCACTAGATCTTGCTACAACATTTTGTTTCTTACTCTTCCAAGAGTTCAAGTTATCTCCAATAGAAACACAATATCCGAAAGTAGATCTTCTATCTGAAGGAGATCCTACCTAGTCCGCATCTGAATAACATACAACTTTAACCTGGTTATTATGATCATATAACAAACCTTTTCTAGGATATCCTTTAATGTATTTTAATATACGAATGATTGCATTTCAATGATCTGCATATGGGAAATTAAGAAATTGACTCACCATACTAACTACAAAGAAAATGTCAAGACGAGTAACAGTAAGATAGTTTAATTTTCCAGGATCTAAGAGAGGCTTCCCCTGATTATGTAGGAGTTTGGTATTGAGATCCATGAGTGTGTCAACAAATTTTGAGTTCATCAACCCAAGTTCTTCTAAAATATCCAATGCATACTTTCTCTGAGATATAACAATGTCATTATTGGATTATGCTACCTCAATCTCCAATAAATATCTAAGTTTGTCAAGATATAACAATGTCATTATTGGTGTGACAAAGGTGTTACTTCATCTGGGAGATGTCATGTTGATCACTCCCTGTAAGAACAATATCATCAACATATACTATTAAATAAATACACTCAACATTTGAGTGATGGTAAAATACTGAATGATCTACCTTATTTTGAGTCATACCAAACTACTGAATAACACTACTAAATTTTCCAAACCAGGCCCTAGGAGATTGTTTAGGCCATATAAAGATTTGTGAAGGCGACATACCAATCCAGA